AGCTAATCCAGCTGAGCCTCTGCTCCCCTCTTTGAGCTGTTATCAGTACTGTTATCCTCGATGAGTGATTTCTGTGGGTGATTCCAAAGCGCACAGAGGAAAAGGCTTAGTACTCTTCTCTGACACATCTGTGCAACATCTGGAACTGATTTGGGGCAGTTAACACACTAACTATGGTCTCATGTCCCGTATAGACATCCTCCCTTGAGAAGAAAGAGCCACGGAGCCATGGGAAAGATTCATCCTTTTCATCCTTCTCATTGGTGCCGGCTTTGGTTTGTGCTCCTGTTTAACAAAGATCATTAAGTAAGCTCTTCATTTAGGTTTTTGTTGTTGTTGTTGTTGTTTAAGTTTAATGCCTAGAATGAGCTGTGTACCCTTCTAGAAGGGGCCCACTGTAGTGAGCATGGCCTCTGCTCTCACGCAGCTGGCATTCCAGAGAAAGCATGTCAACCTTTTCTTGCAGTGACAAAATACATATGAGAGAATAGACCTGTAAGGAAGGGGGATCTCTTTTGGCTCAGAGGTTTCATGGTTGCTTTGCTCAGTTGCTTTCAGCCTATGGTATCAAACTATCACAGGGTGGCTATTGCTTACCTTGTGCTAGTCAAGAAGCAAAGGACACACAAGGCAGAGCCAGAGCCCCCAAATCTCCTTCAGTAGCACAGCCCCAAGTGACCAGTAGACCTTCTATTAGGCTCCAGATCTTAAAGGTTCCACCGCCTCCCAACAGTGCCACAGATTGGCAATTAGGTCTTCAAGGGACTTTGGGGGATAGTCAAGATCCCAACTCTGTCAAGAAGGAAGGGGCAAATAAATGCACACAAGGAGTCCATACTGAGAAGAGCCTGAGGCAGGCCGTCAGGGAAAGAGGGGAGAGAGCAGACTCTTCAGGGAAGGACTTCTTTGAGGAGGAGATGTACAGGAAAACCTGGTGTGCAGGTCCAGAAGCAGCAAAGAAGTCCTTAGCAAAGGAGTGCTGTAGAGAATGTGGTATCTGTGGCAAGGGGAAATCCCAGCACAGACTCGGAAGTCAGCGGGAGACCTTGACTTTCCTCTGCACTGGGTGGGAAGTCTCAGAGGGCTTAGAGCAGGGCAGCGGCACATGCTGCCTCCTGCTGGTTCTGCCCGACTCACTCTGCAGGCCACCGGCAGAAGCAAAACCAGCCAAGGGGCTGCTACAATCAAGGGGTCCCTTGTTTCCTGGGGATGGAAGCAGTGAGCAAGAAGTGGTGGATACGGGGGAACACAGAACTGAAGATGCCGAAAAAGAAGTTAGCTAGGCACAGTAGTATACGCTTGTCACCCCTCTAGTGGGAAGGCTGAGGCAGGAAGATCTCAATTTCAAAGCCAGCCTGGACGTCATGGCAAAATGTCAGAAAAAAAAAGTATTACTTGGGAGAAAAAAGTTTGGAAAGAGGAAAATAAAGAAAGGAAGTCATCCCGATATTTTGAATGGATCTAGTGCTCCTTTGAGGAAAAGTTGCCAGGATGAGTGACAGAGGTAGACTGTGCTTACAAGACTGAGTAGTGGGTTGTTGGAGAATATAATTATAGGTTGAAATTAAATTGAGAGCCAAAACAACAGGTGTCGTGGGGGTGGGGGTGAAGCATAGCTAGAGAGCTTGGGTTTCCAGCCTACACAGCTGTAGTCTGTTTGGATATAACTCTCAAACAGGAATGTGCCGCTCAGTCCCCATGTCCCAGGTGACCTGCAGTCCCTACCCCAAACCTGAGGCTGAGCACCCCTCACACATGAACACTAGCTGAGCTTAACCCATCACACTGGGCCAGACGAGTGGGAGGAGACACACTGACCATACTCTGTTGACATAAAGCATTAACTGTGGTCTAGACTCAGACCTCTTCAGACACAGCTCTGCTTCTGGGGTTTCTCCTTTTTCTCAGTACTGGAGACTCAACCCTGGACTGCACACAGGCTAGGCAAGTGCCTCCCCACAGAGCTACATCCTCAGCTCTTTTGATCGCCTGTCTATGCCGCATATTCATTTCAGTATCTTGTTTCCTGACTGTGGAGGAGGCTGAGGTAGGGGTGAGGGAAATACTCAATACCCCGGTTTCTCCCAGGATCATGATGACTGTCACTAAAACATGAAAATTTTCCTAAACCAAAATCTAGAAAAGTCTCCAGCTCTGGTTCCTTTTGTTCCCCACACAAGAATTGGGTACTTTTGGCCACATGGGAAATCTGCAAGTGCCAGGCTAAGCCAAGAGCTATGAGCGCATGCACTTCTCCAGTTAACCTCTCAGCCAAAGAAACTGAAGACTAACAACCCGGATCCACTGGTTACCTGCTCAGACCCAGGAGTCCTTTTAGTGCTGTCTGCTAGACTTCTGAAAGTCTGGACAGCTCAACTCTGAACTCTGCCAGAATTCCTACCAAGGTCTGGGTACCATTCTTGTTGGGTCTTTGTAATGTCTCTCTCTCTCTCGTTTGTTGTTGTTTGATTTGGAGTCTCACATAGTCCAAGTTGACCTCAATTCAGTATGTAGCCAAAGGTGACCCTAATTGTTTCACTTCTACCTCCCAAGTGCTGGGATTACTAATGTGCATCACAGCCCTTGGCTTTGACCTCTTGTTTCTTCCTAATCTCTCCCTGGATTATACCATCCAACTGTAAGAACTCATTTTAATGCTGAGGGCACCGCCCTATTCTCTCTGTCAGTGTCCTCTCTGGGTCTCAGACTCATACATGCCTTCTCTTAGGCATAACAAACTTGGCCATCCAAAACAGGTGTCTCCTTTTTCTCCCAGCCCCTGGGGGCTCAGGACTAAACTCTGTCATTCTAGATTATTCTCGTTCTCTGGATCCTCTCTCTATATATATCTACCTGCATCCACCTCCCCTGGGCATCCACCTCCAGAGGGTCTCTGGGGTCCATCCTCCTAGCTCCGCCCCCTCCACCAGTACCCAGCCTGCACCAGACCCTCAATTGCCTCCCCATTTCCTCCTCTCTCATCCCCTCCTGTGCGAATTTGGGTCACATCTCACCCAAGAGCAAAGTTCTTTGTTAAAGAAAAATTAGATCATATCTTCCCTGCTTAGAACATCCCAATGGCTTGACCTTATTTTATTTATTTAGGTTTTCAAAATATATATAGATTCTCACCTCATAGCACAGCCCAGCCTCAAGCACTAAATTCTCCCATTGAGTTTCATGAGTGCTGGGATTACAGGCATGTGCCACAATACTTACCTCTATTCCAAGGTCAAGACCAAATTCTAAAATCACAGCCGTAGAGAACAAGCCCTACCAACCTCTGCAAACCCAGTTAGTGACATCCTCTTCCTGACTCATAGCAAGTCGGATGTGTTTATTTCCAACAGTTGTCACAAAATATCCTAAACACAGGGCCTGAAAGTGACATACATTGTTCCATCACCTGTAAAATCTAAGTGTACTGGGCTCCCTCCAAGGATCTGCGGGGAATCCAGTTCCCTGTCATTCCCAGCTTCTGGAGCTGCAGCCATTAGTTCCCCTTTTCTGCCTTCAGGGCCGGCAGCATGACATCTGCTTCAGCTGTCATGGTGTCTTCTGTTTCACACCCGCCTCTGCCTCTCTCTCACAAGGACACACACACATGACTGTGTGTAAAGCCAACCAGATAATTCGTGGCCGCCACCAACCCCAGCCTTGTAGGGACTAGAACCTGATGGCTTTGGAGACTATTACTGAGCTTGCTGCACATTCAAGGATCTTTTCCGAAGGAGTCTTTGTGCAGCTCGCTCCACGGCACTGAAAGCCTCTCTGCCCATTCACTAGCGGTGTGGTCAGCTCCTTTCCATGAGGACACAGAAAGATCCCCAATGCCTGGCATTTCTGCTTATTTCTAAGTAACTCAGCTGTCCTTTGAGAAGGTGATGAATAGCTGTGATGAACAATATACGAGGAAGAGGTTTTTTTTAGGCTCATGGTGTGGGAGGTTTCTGTCCAGCCTCTTGGCCTTGTTGCTATGGATCTATGGCAGTACAGTGTGTCACAGCAGAAACCAGTAATGGGATCTGTTCTCATGGTAGACAAGAAGCAAGAGCAATCAGAAGAGGTCGGATGTCCTGATATCCCATTGAAGGGCATAACCCCCAATGACCTCACTTCCCCCTGTCAGGCCCCACTTCCTTAAAGTTTTATCTCCAACAAGCCAGGCACCAAGCCATTAGCATACAGGCCTCTGAGGAACATTTAAATCCTAGCTATCATTTCCTCCCTAGTACTCTGATAGAAAAGTATTATTTTATATACAGACTTTTAGTGGATTTGCCCTGGAGCTCTGAGGACAAGGACAATGTCTGCTTGTTCTGACATAACTAGTTAATGAATTATTACTAAAGATGAGCTTACCATCCAACATGGTACTGTGCAAATGGCCATAATGATGTTCCCTCCTTAGAGAAGGTGGACTCTCCCTCTTCTTCCTGACCATCAGCACCAGCAACAACTATCCAAGGCAGGGAAGAGCCCCAGCAACAAGGAAGCACCATGGAGACACTCACACATATACACCCAGGGAGATGCCCCAGTATTCAGCAAGCCAGACACACAGAAGACATCTGAGGAAGCAGGCATCCGCCACAGCATGCTCACACCTGTGCGCACGCTCACAGCAGTCTGTCCTCCGTGAGACCAGTGCAGGGCTGCTGGCAGAGGAAAGCCACAGACCTGCCTTCTTCCGCTTCCTCCCATTAACCGACACCTACTCCTACAGCCACTAAAGAACTAAAGAAGGCCCAGGGCTATTCCCATGATCCCCCGTGAAGCTCCAGGACAGCTTCCTATTTCTCGCTGGGTTAGACTATGCTAAGTTGAGGCCAAGTGTGTTTTGACTGCCATCTATTTCTAAGAATTGCTTTTTCATTAGGCAGCAAACTATCCAGTAGAAAAACAACATTGACCATCCCACCCCCCCATACAGAATGTGGTACGTTAAATATTTGACGAGTATGGGGTATATTTTTAAATGTTTCAGCTCTGTGATTATTTATAGCAGAAAGTTCATGATCACACATTACATAAAAGTACCAACTTAAGACAATGCAGTTTATAAATATTAACCCATTTTTCACACACACTGAAATGGAAGGTAGTAAAATTTGTGTAATTTACAAATCACAAAGGTGGCATTTTGAAAAACACAAGAGACCTTGCTTAGGAAACAGAGCCTGGTTTTCTCCCCTGAGGACCTCCAACTTCTGACTCTATGTCCTAAAGCATTCTGTCACAAATAAAATGGAGATGTCTTTTATGAATAGGTTTCAGAAGTCTGTTGTCAGAGTTCAGCTCACAGGCACCAACTTGGGGCCTAGTGGGGTTCTTAGGAATTCTGGCTCAGATTAATTCTAAAAAGCTGCAGCTGACAGAGGAACCGATTCCAAAGGCTCAGCTATCGAGTAATTGAAGTTACTGAAAACCAAAGTCCATGTGTGATCCCAGCTGGAGTTGGTCATATTTTCCTTGTAAATCTAGAACATCCTGAGGCCAAATGGCTGCTGTTTGTGCTAATAAAGGAGAGCACGGTAAGGTATTATGTTGATTGTCTGAGGTGATGTCCTGTTGGGCCTCATGCAAGGTGACTGGGGGTACCAGAGTAGGATGGCCTTAGAAGGTGAGCTGAGTCCGGATGTGGCCAAGAGCTGCTTCCTGAAAATTCCTCTCCAAAAAAGAGAAGAGGTCTAGGTCCCCACACCAACAGGCCCTGAGGTGACGTTCATGGGTCCCAGTGACCCCCATCAGAACCCTGGAACTTCAGCTAGAGGCCAGCCACATACTGACCGGGGGATCCTCTTGTGTTCATCCCATGCTTGGAGTCTAGAAAAGAACATGAGAATAAAAGCAGGTGCATTAGCCAGAGTTCTCCTGAGGAACAGACCCAACAGGGTGGAAAGAAGGAGGGAGGGAGAGAGAGAAAAAGGATGGGGAGAGGGAAGGAGGGAGGGAGGGTGAGAGGGAGAAGGAGGAAATTCTCAAATTCACTTACACCATCCAGATTGGGTGGTCCACCAATGGCCATCTGGAGAGACAGAGAATCTGGTAGCTGTCCAGCTGAAGGAGCTGGACACCTCAGCAGTTCCATTAGGCTCGAAGCCTGGAAACTCCCTAAAACGTCGCTGGTGATGGGTCCATGTTGAAAGGCCAAAGAAGCTAGAGTCTGCCGTCCAATGGGGATGGTGGCAGCCATAGATGTCCTCACTCAGGAAGAAGAGGAGCTCAGTCATGCCAGTATATGCTATCTGCCTCCTCCTTCAACTTCCTCCCGTGGGGCACCCGGTAGATTGTGTCATCCACGTTCAGTGAGGGCCTTTCCCCTCTCAATTACTGTCCTACACAGCGATCTTTTCGAGAAACAGAAACGTGATCCTCTCCTCTCATGTGTCTCTAAAACCAGGTCAGTTAACAACCAAGACCAGGCATCATGCATCCTTGGGAAAAGTCAATTCTGGAGGGCATTGGGGTGCCTTTGCTCGCAGGTGACTGTAGTGTTCTCAGAAAAAAAGAAAAAAAAAATTCCAGCCCTGAGTAGCACAGAGATATGTCCTGACATTATTCAGCCTTCCTGGCCCAATCAGAAGCTGAGACGTCACAGCAAGAGTCTGGTGTCAGCAGAGCTGAGTGTTTCCATTTCCTCCGTGGAGAACTTGTTCCCTCGAAGCCTGCAGGGAAGTGAGGTCTGAGGGAAGGCAAACCTGAGCAAAGGCTTACAAGGGAAGTAGCCAGCTTTAAGCCACACTTTGGGGGAGGGGCTGGTGCTCAGTCCTAACCCCAGGCTCACCGGAAGAGCCTAGAGGTTCTGTTTTTAGGGTTTCATTTTACCAAGTGCCACCCAGGGCTGTCCTGACCATCCCACAGAATGAGCAAGGTTCCATGACTGGACACAGTCCACAACACTGGGCCGTGCCAGCCACAGACGCCCCAAGGCCACTATTGTCTGTCAGGCAACAGTCACATCTGGCCTACTCCTTGAAGACAGTATGGGACATCTCTTAGGTCTGTGCAGCGATTTAAAAAAACAAAACAAGGAGCGACAACAGTAAAAACAAACAATAAGAGCTGTCTTAATGCTAGATTACCTGACCTCACCAACTGTGAAACTTCTCAATCACACAGGAAGCCTGAGTGTCTTCAGCTCAAGAGATTTAAGGAGCTTTGGTTTTGATTTCACTCTTTGAGATCTGTTTGCAACTGTATGAAATTCAAGCGCCAACAGGACCTGTTCTAGGAAATGGGCCTTGTGGGTCTGCAGCCAGCTCTAAGAGTCTACCTACCCAAGAAAGGCTAGCTTTTCCTCTCCTCTGGGTAAATATCTGGCATTGAGAACGGGTCTCCAAGCCAGGCATGGTGGTGCACACCTGTAATCCCAGCACTTGGGAGGTGGAGTCAGAAGAATTAAGAGTTTCTCTTTGGCTACACAGTGAGTTTGAAGCCAGCCTGGGCTCTATGAGATTCTGTCTGAAGTGGGAAAAGAGGATGGGCAAGCAGGGGGATTGAGAAAATAGGGCCCTAGAGTTGACAGCACTTTTGCGAAAATCCTGAGAATACCGTGATTGTTTTGTTTTGAGATAGACTTATCTGGACCTCACAGTCCTGCCTCAGCCTCTTAAGTACTAGGACTATAGGCATGGCCTATACCTGATCTAAATAAGGAACCTTGCAGTAGCAACTTGCACTCACACGCGTCAAGCCAGAGCATTCCTCTCTGTTTGTCACATGAGGAACAAGGAGCCTAAGTCAGGCTGTATCGGAGTGCCTTTTTCCAGCACACGAAGGCTGTGGTTTTTAGTGATACGGATGTGGCCAACCACACTGCAGTCCCCACCCTGCATAATCTCCAGAATTCAAAGGTGCAGAGGGTCACATAGCATCTTCAATCGGTGGGAGCGTATTTTTGTGGTCAGAAGGGCACAGTGGAACTCTTGTTCTCATTATCTAACCACACCCCCAGCCTTACTTTACTGCTTAGAACACCAAAGTTTCAGGATAAATACTCCTGGTTTTACACTTTCATTTTCTTTCTTCCTTTCTTTCTGAGACAGGGTTACATTCTGTAACCTAGGCTAACCTAGAACTCAAACTTCTCCTGTCTCACCCTCTAGAGCACTGGGATTAGTTATATATCAATACACCCAGTACTACTGTTTTAAGCAGAACTGGCCCCGCTTAGAGACACAGATTTTTTTAACAGCTATCTAAATCTACTGTGTTCAGAATAATAGCAAATGTTGGTCAAACCTGATCTCCAAAACTCCACCATTCCTCTCTCCTCTCCTCCCATTTATCAGATACGAAAACCAAGGCTTGACGAGGCAAAGTCGTTTTCACAGGGGACCTTACCAAACTTCCAGAATTGTACTGTTCCTGTTGAGGGCCTGCAGGAGGGCTTCCGCACCCAGGAAGGTAATGCCGTTGTTGGACAGCCTGCAAGAGAAGTAGACAGTTGGGCTGCCATAGCACTTGGTTTTCCGCTAAGCCTGTCTGGTTCCAGAAAGCCTGCTGCACAAGCCGGGTGAGATAATCCACGAGGGTCAATGCTTCTGTGAAGAGAGCCCCTCCTCCACTCACCAGACTAGCCACACACTGAGGAGGGCATCCAGGCTGAGGACCCACAGCCCAGTGCCAGGCTTCCAAGGGTTCAGATCTAGCCCCTACCATTTGCTGTTCAATTTTCAGCAAATGTTTCTGAGTAAGGAAGTCCCTGACTCACAGAGAGTACGAATGGAAAAAAAATGACACAGCAAGAGCTCTGGGCACAGCACCTCACTGATAGAGAGTAACTCACCAACAGTGACGCACAGGGACATAGGTTAGAGACGGGGGCTGGGACAGGAGCCAGATCCACATGGCAACTTCTGCTCCCAGCTTTGCCTTCTAGGAACTACCGCCCCATCTGCCTTCCTCCCCAGCACCGGCCTGCTGCACATCTGCCACCCAGGCAATGCTGAGCACAATGCCAGTGTATGCTGAGCTTTCCCTGTGTGCCAGCTCTCTACCTACATCAGTGCATGCTCAGAACTCATGAGGAGGCCAATTACTATCCCTTTACATGTGAGGAAACTAAGGCATCTGTCCAAGGAGAGACTATCTGCTGTGAGGCCTGGACTCCAACCAACACTTGGCAGAGAAGACACTGGAAAAAGAAAGAGGTGGGATCTCTCTCTTTCTCTCTCTCCCCCCTCTCTGTCTACATCCTGTTTCTCTCCCTTTGTCTCCTCACAGTACAGTGAGATAGATGTAGATGATATAGATATAGATATAGATTTGGATATAGGTATAGGTATAGATATAGATATAGATATAGATATAGATATAGATATAGATATAGATATTATGAGAAAATGGGGATGGTCAGTATCACTACTCAGGATGCTGAATAATCTCATTCTGACAACAGGTAAACAGGACACCCCCCACCTCTTCCATTGTCTTGTCTTCTTTGGGATCAAGCAGAGTGTGGCAATGAGGAAAGACAAACCTGCCACATCCACACCCGATCCATGATGTACCAAGTGTACAAGCACTTGCTGTTCTGCACATGATGTGCTTCCCAGTGTGATGGGAACCTTTCCGATTCAAATTCAAACACTACTTTCTTAGAGAGGACTTATCTAAATGGTGGCAACCACATCTCCGCTCAACACATCCCTCTTCCAACCGGAAAGGAGCCCTTTGCTTGCCATCTGTCTCCAGCATTAGAGATGGGATAATGAGTCCTCTGTCTTTCCCACCTGACACAGAGTTGGGGTAGGAGCACTTCCTGTACGAATGCCGCGATGTGTGTGCCAACACTTGTCCATTCAATGGATGAACACACGCGTGAGCAAACGCCAGCACTCAAACCACACGACACGCCAGGAGACACCCCTTGGAGGTACCATCCAAGCAGCCCTTTTGCCTGAGCAGCAATGGCCCTGGAGGAGGGCGCACTTATAAGACACACAGCAGGTACGTTCAGCAGCCCGCCATCCGTGCTCCCTAACTGACATTTCCAATTCCGGAGCTGCTTGCTGAGATCTGCCACTCTCCAGAGCAACCTTCCTAACGCTGCGACCCTTTAATACAGTTCCTCATGTTGCAGCGACTCCTGACCATGAAATTAGTTTCGTTGCTGCTTTATAACTGTAATGTTGCTACTGTTATGAATTGGAATGTGAATATCTGTGTTTTCCGATGGTCTTGGGCGGCTCCTGTGAAAAGGTTGTTAGAACCCCCCAAAAGGGATTCAACGCACAGGTTGAGCACCGCCACTCTACACCCTTGGAGCAAGCTCAGCCACACGGGAGTGGCCGGTGGTTCAGGAGAACTGGCGACCCCCCAGACACACCTCTTACAGAAGGGTGTGTACCTGAAGATAAGTATCCAGCAGCTCCACTCATGGAATGGGTAAATGTCAAGCATGTTCTGCCAAATCCTGGAGGCTCCAGGAACTCCAGTTCTAATCTCCTTAGTCATAACTGACTCCAGATCCACTCTCTACGGTCACCATCTCCTCCTGCAGCACTTAACTTTTCTTTCTGCAGTGTTTTTCCAGAACCACCCAGATGCCAGGTAAGCAATGGGCGTTGACAACCTCATCTACCCACCTGAAAGCTTTCCCCACCAGAAACCTCAGTGGGGTTTCCAGAGCTGGCCAGAGCCTGACCTCTGACCTTAAAGCTCCCTCCCCAGGCTGGGAATTATTGTACTGCCAAAGAGTACTTACTTCAAGATTTTCAAAGTTGAATTTCTCTTCAGTCCTTCTGCGAGAGAACACACCCCTTCGTCACAGACATGGTTTTCCTCCAGGCTGTCAAGAACAGAGAGGAGGTCAAGTTGGCATTGACTGTGGAGGAAGATGTCAGGAAGGGTTAACTTCCTCAGTTAAAGAATCCCAACACACAGAAGAATAAGAATTCGCAAGAGGGGTGAGTAGTCTCAATTCCAGGGACAGCCTTGAAAGGCGACTCACTCCTTGGCGCCACTACATAAAAATCCCCAGCCTGCACAGCTACGACTACTCCTTCTTTCCTAGATTAACAAGAGACTTCATGATGGTGTGAGAAGCTATCTAGTTTGTGAAGAAAACGGCACTTCTCGCTTTCCACTGCAGCCGGAACTGGCCAAGCGGCACCGGCAGCGCCATGGGTGCACAAGGAAAGTTGACAGATGGGAGCTTCCAAGAATGCTTCTGAAATGGAGGTGCTCTACCTGTAGGTGCTCTTCCTGTCTCCAGCCCTTGGACGAGGCGGAGACTTAAACCTTGGGATATTAAAGTAACTGCTGCAGATGGAAGAGCCACCCTGATCAGGAGATGAAGACACATGCTAGGCATGCGTCATGGAACCAGGATGGGACAGGAAGAAACAGGGACAGGTAAGAAGGCCCTGGTAGCTCGCTGTAGACACCACTCCAGCTCTAAACTGCCTACCTCAAGACTTTCCAGACACAAGAATATAAAGCTTGGCTGGCTTAGGCCTCACAGATGGAGGTTTTCTATCATGCGGTAGAAATTAACTTACAGTAAATTTGGCTCCTTACTTTTGAGTTCCTTGCAGCAAACTGCAAGTTAATTTAGCAGGCAAATGAAGTGCGCCCTAACAAGATTATATTCTTTCAGCAAACGGCTAGTTTCAGACAATCACAACAGCCGTACTTCCCCAGGTCACAGACTGGCGTCTCATTACAGCCCATCCAAGTGAGTGGAGAGTTGTTGCCACCAAGTTGCTTCTGCATGTTACTTCCTGTTTGCAAATACTGCTGCCCTTGCTGCTGGACGGGCTCTCTGAGCCCCTCCTAGTTCTGAGTGCCAATCTGTCAATCAGTCTTTGCTCACAGTAACTCTGCTTCGTCTAAACTTCCTTTATGCCCAGCTATCCAACACCCATGTCCCTTTTTTTTTTTTCTATATTAATAAGAAACCTCATCTTGTTGTGGGAAGCTATGTGCTTGGAACAAACCAACATAGGGCATTTCCCGCTCTCTGCTACGGCCAGGGTTGGACAAGCACTCAGTCCGAATTCTAAGCAGTGGTGAGGATAATTCCCAATCAGCACATAATCCACGCTGCTTCCTCAGGGCCAAAGCCCCTCCTGTTGTGCAAATAGTTTCCTCTGAGATTGAAACATACTATCCGCAGGTAAACAACTTAAAATAGCTTCAGGAAGTCCCCAAAACCTACCAGATTCATGGACTCCTACTTGCCAGAGTAAACAATAAAAGCTGAGAGTCCCTCTCAGAGAAGCAAATAAGACTCTCAGACATGTCAAATTGCTAGAACAAAGAAGGTTCTAAAACAAGACCAGTTGCCTGGAGGAAGTAGAAACCAACCAAGAGGCTTAGACCACCGGAGTCACTTGGAAAGGATGTTCTTCAACCTACTGAGCTGTCTATAGACAGTGCGGTGTGCTCCAGGTTCAAAGAGCGACCACCACAACAAAACTCATGGTTCACCAGTGCTGGTGTCCTATCTGGGGTGAGTAGACTTACATGTTACGTCTCCCCAGGAAAAGTTTAGTCACACAACATAAATGGCACCTGAACAGGGACACAACAGAACCAAAGACGAGTTGGGGAGAAGTACACAGTCCTAGATATGGGTAGCAAGACATGCAATGAAGGCTGTTGCTGAGAAGTCTGTGGCAGAGGGCGGGGGTGGAGAGGCCAGCAGGCATCCATGTCTGATAGCGTTGTCCTTTCCTGTATAGTGTTAATGTTATGGCAGCGGTTGCATGGTTCTTGCTATGGGAAATAAGACATGAAACTAAGGCTAAGCCATCAGTATTTGGAGTGTCAGGATGGCAGTCTCTGTGTATATGGTGCAGGACGGTATGCCTGCTTGAACAGCGGGGTCCACAATGTGGATACGGAAGTACCCTGAAAACAGCTAAAGGGCTAGTGGAAATTTTGCAGTCTTTGAGATGAGCACACAAGGGTCAAAACTGTCGGCATGCAGCAGGAGAAGTTGGCTGGCCTCTGTTTTGTGTGGTTAAAAATGCATCTGAGGTCAAGATGGTGGCCAAGCAGGAGATTGTGTGAAACAGAAACTTGTTTGTGTAAAGGAGCAACTGCAATTAAAAAGGGAAATGTAGCTAGCATCCTCTGTGTTAGCCACTTTGTCAACTTAGTTAGATAGAGGAATGGTAAAAGCAATAAAAGATAGCCCTTAAGTCCAACCTTTAGTAAAGAAAAAAAAATCTGTAATCCAATGTCCAATGCAAAAAATAGTATAATCAACACCTGAGCTGCTGGATAAGGGAAGAGTTTTAAACAAACAATGAAAGAGCCTGTCTCAGCCTAGCTTGGGAAGCCGTGGGGCAGGAGAGTGCATATCAGTCTGACTGCTATGGAGGCAGAAAAAAAAAAGTAACATAATTTCCCATTCCTCCCTGAAACAGAGGCTGCATAACCTGAAGCCCTACAAGGGAAGTCGGTCTCTAGTGGAGACTGGCTTATCAAAGCCCTAAGAACAATTGGTTATCATTGTCTGAAGACCCCATAAACATCAGGAACTGGATGACCATAGAGGAAGAGAAAATATTACTGGAGGAACTAGGAATAAGAGTAGCTGCATTTGAACCCCAGTTCACAGGGCCAGTCAGAGGTGTGTTCACAGAGGAGGTAAAGAAGAGATTGATCCAGGAGGGACCTCAAGGCTGGCATGGAGCTTTAGCAGCTTCACTGAGCCCTTTGGCAGGACAAGATCTTTATGAGTTAGGAAAGGCTTTGGCAGATCTATGACTTAGACAAACATTAAGCTGGGACTGAACTGGAAACTCTGCTGGCTGGCTTTCATAGTGCCAAAAGGGCATTACAGGCCAATGGTAGAGAACTGTCACCAACGTTTCTGTTTGGCTATGGATCCTGCGTGCTGAAATACCAACATGCCAGGCAGGAAATGCCCACTTGCGCAATAGAGGCTCAGCTATCACGGGTAGGACCAACAGCCTTCCAATCGGATGTTAGCCCCACTCCACAAAAGGGAGTTCATGTCTGGTTACATAAGCCAGTATGGCTGCAGAGGTCATAGGTCTTGGTGAGCAAACAACTTCTATGGTTTTTCTAGATGGATGTGATGTGCCTGCCCAACTGCTTCTAAACTGTGTCCTTACATCTGCAAGTCACTGTTGTCAGCCTCAACTCATAGCCGGTGGTAAAGCGCCACGAAACGACTGACTGTTGCTGTGGCATGGTGGCCTGTTTCTTAGCTATCAGTGGACCTGTATAGTCATCTCCTCTCAGGCTCAAAGACCATTGCAAAAGAGGGGGCAAAAAGAACGAAAGAGCCAAAAAAGGAGGAGGGTTGTGCAACAGTTCCTCCTGAGATTAAAACACTCCATCCTACAGGAAAGCTCCTTAAACACAAACAACTCAAATAGCTTCAGGACGTCCCTAAAACTGACTCGATTCACTCTCCCCACTTCCTCCATCCTCCCATCCCCTCTCCCATTTTCCTATAAGTAGCCTCAATAAAACTCATGGTTTACCAAGTTAGACCCTGGTGGTATCCCTAAAGTTCTGTCATCGGCTCCCTATCTGGGGTGGAAGTCAGGTGTCTTGCATGTTCCCAGAAAAAGTTTGGTCACACGACACCTCCACACTGTGTTTGTGGCGATCCTTTGAGTGTCCATGCTTTGCTGGTTCCTGGATAAATCTCTCAGCATTTTCTCTGCCTGCTCTATCTGGAACTGCAAAGGTACCCCTGGAGTTGAAGTCTCTGGCAGCATCTACAGGGTGGATAACTTGGAATTTGCTTCAGTGTCATAAGCACACTTCGTGGCTCATCTTTCCATGATCCCAAACTCCAGTCAACTTCTGAGGTGACCCTTGACTCTAACAGCCAGTGTTCTGAAGAGCTCAAATTCATTTTGAAATACTAAATTTCACAAGCACTAGTACTCATGATACTACTGCCGCAGTTGTTGGCTGCTGTAGTAGCAGTAACCTCACCGCTACAATGGCTTAGCATTTGTGGGACACGTACACATATGGGAGGCACTATATTAAGCACATATACATATGGCAGGCTCTATATTAAGCTCCCTACAAACACTACCTTCCTTAATTCTAAAAAAATAAAAAAAGAAAGAAAAGAAAATCTTTCTGGAGCTGGAAACATTCTTGCTTTATGTCCCCAGGTAGAATCCTGTCATCTGGGGATTCTTTTAAGTTGCCTGCTTGATTCCAGAGTTTGTGGTCATCACCATTGTGGCATGGGCAGGCAATAAATGAAGCATCAAGCCAATGTATCCCCATCAGGGGGGTGGGGAGGGCCTAGCAGTGAGGTGCCAGGCTCTGCAGCTTCCCGCAGCTCAAAGCCGAAACCAGCTAATCACTCAGTCACCCAGGCTTCTTTTGCCCACACAGCCTCCCATGGCTGAGGCTAGCCAATCAATAAAGGCCAGCACCTACTTCCCAGGAACAGGGGGTCCCTTCCACCCCAACTCACCACAGTTCCTCTAGTGCCTTGTTCTTCTCCAGCATCAGTGCTAGGGCTTGGGCACCCGCCCTGCCAATGTTGTTTCCCACCAGGCTAGACATAATTGTGGAATAAAAATGAATCAGAATAGAAGGGGTACCCCAGAGACAAACTGGCCTATGAAGGGCAAATGACACATGCTGATAGTGTCCTCCATGTTAGACAGACTAACATGGAGTTAGTTGATGACAGTGCCCCTTAAGGCCAGGAGCCATCCCCAAACCCTCCCCAACTGGTCAGCCATTTTCTTTGGATAGGAACAGGTCCTTAAGATAAAATGTGATGGGTTCAACTCACAGCCTTAAACTTGCTAACAGGGAATCATGACTCTAAAAGGAGGAGAATCACCTCGAAATTCACCCCCAAATCCTCAAGTTTCCTGATCCCAAACCCAATGGTTTTTCCTCCTTACTCCACTGCCTAATACAAGGGAGTGCATACAAAGCCCAGTGACCTTCAAAACTCTCCCCAACCACCTAGGTCTCTCTAGGACAAGGACAAGACACATCTTGCAGCTTACCTGAGCCATTTCAAGCTCTGGTGGTTAGCCACAGCCTCGGCCAGGGCTTGGGTGCCTTCATCACCCACACTGTTACCCCAGAACCTGAGAAGATGATGGGGCATGTTTCAGGCATGTGTTAATGTCCGTCCATAGCACTCACCGTACCCCGCACAGGTCTCAGGGGTCCCAGCAGAGTGGACCTACTCCAACCACTCCACTCAGACCTTTCAGTGGCTTTAAAGGCCTGTGGGAATACCCTCAGTGGTAGCTCACACTAGGTACCATGATTGTGACTTTTTTTTCTCTTCCTAATGTTTAGTTCAGATTTGCTTCCTGGTAGCTATCACCCACCACAAATCTGTAACTATTCTAAAGACCACCCAGAATAATGCTAACTCTTCCTGCATGAGCCAGCTTTTCATCTCTTGTTCCTCCTGTATCACTTCTATCCCTGTGATGCCCGGTTCATTTGTTTTCTGAGCCATTCTCCTCCAAGCCACTGTAGCTTGGAAACAGTCCCCACGCTCTGACCCAGCATCAGACATTCGGGGACTTGCCCTGGAACTTGTATATGTACAGATGAACAAAGACAGCCACACTGGGTTGGCACAGCACCTTCATCCACTATGTAAAATCATTAATTTTGGTTGCCAACTTCATTAGGTTGAGAACTATTTTAAGAGGCAAAGCCCACCAGTGAGAGAGCTTCCAGCAACAATCAGATGGCATGAGGGGTATGGTCTAACCAATAAATAAATCCTCTAGTGGATTCATAATATGATGACATCAGTGGTAGGTGGTAAAATAGGGGTATGGGTCGTAGAAGAAGGTCACGTGAGGTGTGTCCTTGGGGCCATGTATTGCCCTGGTCTCTTCTACATCCTGCTTCCACTTGCTGGTCAGCCATGAAGTGAGCAGCTGTTCTCTCCCACAAGTTCCTACCACCACAATGTTCTCCTCAAACTTAAGGGGTCAATCATGGATTAAACCTTCTGAAACCATACATCAAAAATAAGCATCTCTTCCTTAACATTATCTAGGTCAGATATTTCAGTACTAGCAACAAAAAGGTAACCAAAGTATTAGATTAAGTGTGTACTGAGATGTGGCTGAATGAGGACACTGCTCTGGGGTTAGGGTATCCAAAGCGCACATCAACAGATGACCGTTGATTAGATGAAGAGATTAAGCAAAGCCACCCAACTGGTGGAGTGCTTCTTAAAATGAGCTCATACCAGTCTGAGGGATGGCCATACTATGTTGTGAAGCACGAGGATGGGCCAGGATTTCAGAGCAGTTTGCGTCTTACAAAAGTGTTTAGGATTTCATCTCAGTTCCTGGTGCAATCCTTGGCCCAGACAGATGTCTTTAAAAGAACGTTAAATGGAAACTGGGTGGTGGTGGTGCACACCTTTAATCCCAGCACTTGGGAGGCAAAGGCAGGAGGATCTCTGAGTTTGAGGCCAGCCTGGTCTACACAGTGAGTTTCAGGACAGCCAAGGCTACACAGAGAAACCCTGTTTCAGGAAAAAAAAAAATTAAATGAGACACAAATGTCCATATACCGCAGTGAAACCTCAGGCAGAAGGGAGCACCATGGGGCTAAGGCCTTGTTTCCTGTATTCTCTGTGCTGCTAACACAGCTGGAAAGGGTGTGCTGATTTCGGATTAGCACAGTCCCCTTCCTGGCTCACACTGAGTCTATGGGCAACTAGCCAGCCAGAGTAATGGGTCGAAACATTTGGGCCTTAGAGTTATTCTCTCTTCCTACATCTTGGATTCCACAATTCCCAGTTGTTGACAACTGACCCCTCCCTTGGAAGCACAGCAGCTGATTATTTCCATGACATTCCTGGTGTTCTTGAGAGACACAAAGTATTTCCCAGGGTAGCTCAGTCCTGAGCAGGCCTGAGGACAAGAAGGCTCAGGTCCCCAGTTCAAGGCACAGCATCTTCCTACCCAGGGTACCATGAACTCCCTCCTTAACCAGGTGAGGTGAGTTCAGAGGCAGCTCAGGAGCAGCCTAGCAACTGCCCACTCACCCCAGCCCACCCCTCCATCTGCAGCCAAGGCTGTCTGTTTGCTCTTCAGGTGAAGTGTTCGCCTGCCCCTAAATCTTTGAAACCCCCAAATTCCTTCATGTGGACCCTCTATCTCGAAACACAACCTACCCCAGGAACTGCAGGGATGTGTTGCTCTTGAGCCCCTGGGCCAGAACCTGGGCTCCAGCAGCTGTGATGTGATTGTTCCCCAGCCTGAAAGAAGACACAGAAGTTCACAGAAAGGGAACACGCTGGCACCTGGCCTCTCCTGGGACGTTGCAGTGGCATGCTGCTCAGCAGTGCTCCCTTGCATCACGCCTCCCACCTTGGTTCTTGCCACTTGGTCTTGGTTTTTCAAATAGGTCTGGTAGGAGTCTTAGCTGAAAGTTGTCCTAGGAGCTGGTTTTCCTATTTCCCTAGGAAACATCTTTCCTTCTTGGTCTCAGCCATTTTCAGTCCACACCCCAGCATACCCCGCTGCCTGACTTCCATTCCACTGTCACCATGGGTGGTACTGGTCTGTTCTGAAGGGACTGGGAAGACGAGGAATCTGGGTGTTCTCTGGCAGCACCAAGGATACTGTAGGAGGGAGGAAGGCAGGCCCAAAGGGGTGCAGCATTTAGCAAGGCTCTACCATAGCTGAATCTAGTCCCTTCTAACAGTTCAGAGCTGTTGCCCACAAGAGAAGCTTTCCAGAATAAACACAATACAGTTTCATCTTTCCAAGGTACTTTAAGCCGCTCCGGCTGACACCAATCTTAGAGTAGGTGTGACCATCTCATTCCAGAAAACATGTGACACCAAGAAAGCAGCCCAAGATCTCTGCTAGGCAAATTAGATCTTATAGCACCCCAGTGACCTTGGGAATTCTCTCAGAGCTGCATCGTCCAAAATACTTCCTCCCATGCATACTCTTCATGCAGGGTAAGTCCCCACCCTCCACAGCTCCCACCCTCCCTATGTTCCCACCCATGGGCATTTTCTGCTCATGTAATCCCTTCTCTGAGGACTGAACTAACATAAGGATACACAAGCTGGGAGCTTACATAATTTACCCACGATCTTTCAGTATCTGAGCTTACTATATAAAGCATGCACTGTACCAACTCTTTATGTGTGTTAACTCTATCGTGACAGCCTTTCAGACGGCTGGGAGTATGATCCCCATTTTAAGAAAAGAGCCAGGGTAACAAAAACATGATCTGACCCAAGGTCACACAGCTAATAAGGATTCAAATCTCTGGGTTTCTAGACTTCAACTAGCAGACAGCCATGATGAAAGTACTGTGTGCTGGCCACAAACCTAGTTCTCCAGTTCTGGGTCCCACAGCCCATGATATCCACAGACTAGATGCCTGGACCAGGTGGGAGAGGATGGCAGTGGTAGAACAGAGTGTTTTGTACAAGGCAGTACCCCTGACCTTGGCTTTCCTAGTCCTGTCTGAGATTAGCTACATGGCCAAATTTTAAGGTGGCATCCCTCAGTTTCAAAAGGCAGCCGGCAGGCAGAAAATAATAGATGGAAGTGGTTCTTCATTGTCTTTTCTATTGCCTCAAAAATCATAAGAGGCATGAATATTAGAGAGAGAGATGAGAGAAAGAGAGGTTAAAAAGAGAGTGAGTAGGGGCTTGGAGTATATCTATTGGTCTCTGGTAGGAGAGAGAGTCAGGCTGAAGGCAGAAGCAGCAGATGGAATTTCAAATCTTGCCTGATGTGTGTTGAGGAAGCTTTGGGGAACATTCCAGCAACTGGGTACCACTCCTGTGGTAGTAAGCACAGGTTTAACATGCATCAGAGAGAACTCGTAATCCTCATCAACACTGAGGGGGGGAAGACCTTAAAACTCTCCACCCTGGGACCAAACATCCAAAAGACTGGGGCTCCTTAGTCCCAGTGGAACAGAGCACGCCATGGGATCTGAGAAGCACACTCAAAGTGAGACCCGTTCCGAGATGCAGTCAAGGATTACAAGCTACTACGGGTCACACCATGGTCCAGACCAGATCACCTGAACTCAGCTCTGGAAACATCAGATTCAGAGAGGAAGGGAAGTCAGGGCTCACCTCAATGACAAGAAGTTATGCTTGTGCACAAGGAGCTTGGCCATGGAGTAGGCACAGCCATCCGTGAGTTTGTTGTTGAAGAGACTGCTGGGTTCCAGGAAAGATGGAAACAAAGCACGTGACCAGCAAGTTCTCAAATCAGGGTGTCCTCCTTTCTTCCCACGAGCCACCCTGCAATCCTCCAGCAGGGTCACACTTGGCCCACCCCATCACCCACTCAGAACTGCCTCAGTGGCCATGCCCAGTCTGACTCACGCTAGCTTCTGCAGCTGCTCACACTGAAGCGCACACTCAGTTAGCCTGCAGGCACCTTGATCTGAGATATTGTTATTCCGCAAACTGAAAAAGACATCAGTAGATCAGTTCAAAGTAGAGCTGACAAGAGAACCCCCCACCCCCAAAGAGACTCTCACTTCCAAATGAAAACCTCACTGTGCTTCTGGGAACCAGAAGGGCAAAGCACCCTGTACAGGTAGAGAGCCTCCAACCCCAACCCCAGAATCCCTGGCCAGGGGAGCTGATGTCAGGGGACAGACAATGCAATCCCTGGGGACCCTGAGAGGCCACCTGAAATCACAAGTATTCTCCATGTACCAGGCAACATGTTCCCAACAGCAATATCATTACTCTCACCCCAAGCTCAGGCAGTAGGTCCTACCGATGTGTCCCTAAGAGAGAGATAGTGGGGCACAAACAAGTGACATGACTTTGCTGAGGTTGCACAGTGCTGAAATGGTTGAGCGTAAGTGGACCTGCTGCCAGCCTCCCCTGAAGCACAGCGCTGTGTAGCCTTCCCAAGGCTTTTCTCCGGCTCTCAGAGAAGTGGTTTTCAAGCCGCAGGTTGTATGCCTATTTGTGAGTTCCACAGACAATTTTGGAGGCCCTGAGCAGGATTTAAAAGCTGAAATAGGACAGATGAAAGAAAGCAGAGAGAGGGAGTCAGAGCTAATAAGGGAAGTCATTTCACAAAGCTCTTGTCTCAATTCTGCGACCCCGTGGCTCTGTGCATTCTCTCTCTGAGAAAAGAGAACTGAAACCATCACCCTAGAGGCAGAAGGAGCAGAGTCTAAAGAAACCTGCACAGGAGCGTTTTGCATGTAGGGTTTCTTAGAGACGAGAATTTCAGTTGGCATGGAAACCCTTTGAGTAGGGAAGATGCAGATTCACAGTGTGGGAGAGAAGCCTACCCCTTCTTCCCTCTAGCTTTCTTTCCTCTCTCTATGGGGCTGTGTGTGTATGTGTACACACACACACACACACACACACACACAACATACAATGCCAACAACATCTTAGTTGTACATAGGTTAAGATCAGTAGAGCATGGTCCAGGGCTTTAACTGCTGTGTTCAGGTTTCTCTTAGTAACATAAATCCCTGAGGTGATTAACTTAAGAAGTGAAAAGGTTCACCATGACACACATTTTTTTGAAGATGTCAGTCTACCTGATGGCCTTATTGCTTTGGGACCTGTGTCAAGGCATCACATTGTGATAGGAAAGTGAAGGAGGAAAACAGTGTGTCTCCAGCCAGGGAATGAAGAGTGAAGGAATGAGGTGGGCTCCTATAACCCCTTACAAGGGCACACCTCCAACAGCCCACACTTTCCACAACACCCACTACGTAAAGACTACACCTCCCAACACATAGCCCCCTGAGGGACATACACCCGTGTATGGCAACTGCTCGGGATGAAAAGCAGCTGATTCCTGCAGAGCAATATTCTCCCAGGGCAAGACTCCTGGCATCTGAGTCAGCAGTGAACTTGTAATGCACAAGTTCCCAGTCCTGCCTCCCCAGTCCCAGCTCCCCACAAGCCCACTGAGCAGGAATTACACGAGCCCAGGAGCCTCCAACTCAACAAGCATTTTTTCTTGATACTGCTTGACCGCCATGAACTAGAACCAGGCCAGTCCTCCTTTTCTCTGCAAACAGACCCATAGCCTCCCAGACCTCCGGACCCATCAGCATGTCACAGAATCTTATGAACTTTCTTAATCATGGAAAGAGGACCATTTAAAAATTCCAGGGATAGTTGCTGAGCTTGGTAGACAAGATGTATCTGTAACTCCAGTACTGAGGAGGTGGGAGACAGAAAGATCTTAAGTCTGAGATCAGCCTGGACTAGCTGTGGCCCAATTTAAAAATAAAAATCCAGAGACAACTTTCTCTAGGCCAGTCTTCTGAGGTTCATGGTTTAAAAGTATGGACCCCCTAGCCAGGAAACTGCACGTTCATATTTCTACCATAGCAGCTCCAACACCCAGGTCTCCAATTTCCCAATCAAGATCTCATGCCTTTCTCGGGGAAATGGCATGGCACAGACCATGTCCACTCATTTTCCTGGCCAGATCCATGCTCTTCTCTTGGCTGTAGATGCTAGGAGGACTCTTAGAAGACATCAGGCAGGCTCAGCCAGCAGAGGGCACAATGCTAGAAAGGCAAGAGACAGAGAGCAAGGTCCAGGACTTCTTCCCTAAGATGAAGCCTTTCCTAAAGACCCTCTCCATGTCTTCCTCTCAGCCAGTAAATCCTCCCTTGCCTCAGCCCTTCCCTAGAGTCCTTCCTAATTCCGACCCATAATTCCATAGTCCCTTCTATAGACTTCCCTCTATTTCCCAACCAAAGGACAGCATCTGTTTCCTCAAGACCTAGTCATATTTATAGTATATAGTTAATGTATACAATAGAGCTTTATGTTAACTCCATATATGGTACATCATATTATGTTATAATCTTGAAACCACAGTCCCTGTGGAAGAGTTAATTCAAGTCAGCACAGTTTCACGTAAGTATCTGTGTGTTATGATTTTGCCTCAGAGCAGATGAGCCATCCTAATACAGACAGGAATCTTGTCTTTTGTTAAACTCAATTAAGGTTATCTGCAAGAAGAGCCGAAGCCCCAGGAGGCTGTTTTTAGATCTTAACTGTAATGTACAACTTCCTCTTTCTGATACGCCCTAAATAAATAGCAGGTTGTCCCTTTTGAGACAAATGAGAAGGGAAGTTGGGAGTTGGGGGCATGCTGGTCACTAGGCCTGGACATGTCCTCTGCCTTTGCCTGACCCCAGACATTCAAGAGCACAGATGTTCCAAAGAGCAGAGCCTCATTTTTTCAGCCATAAAGCAGAGAGCAACATATTAACAGAAAGTTCTCCAGCTGCTTTCTCTCAAGTTCTGAAATTCTCATCTTGGTGATATTTTTAAAGATTATGATGGGCTCAAATTATTTCTGATTTGAGGTGGTCCCTAGTACAGCTACAAAGCACTGCGTGGGACCTCAAGGCTTTCTAAGAGCAGTAGAAGTGCATCCATAGGCCGGAACCAGGAGACCTGGAACCAGAAAGGCATGATTTGTGAAAGCAACTCATTTCCTTGATTCTGAACAGGTTATCTGACTTCCGTAAGCCTCACGGGAAGAATCATGGGGGTGCTAATGGCCCTGCTGAGCCCACCATGGTTGTGGGGATAGATGAGGTCATTCTGGAAAGTATAGCATAGTGCCTGGCACAAAATTTCAACTATGGCTGGGATGGCCAATCTCAGTTGTCAACTGAGAAATTGCCTCCATCAGATTGGCCTGTGGGCATGTCTGTGGGGCAGCTTTTTGATTGCTAATTGATGTAGGAGGGCCAGCCCACTGGGAATGACACCATTCCTAGACAGGTGGGCCTGGGGCTTATAAAAAAGCTAGCTGAGCAAGCCAGAAGAAGCAAGCCAATAAGCAGCACTCTTACATAGTTTCTTCTTCATGCTCCTGCCCTGCCTTCCACTGACGATGGACTGTAAACCTGTACTACGAAATAAACCCTTTCTTCCTCAAGTTGCTTTTGGTCAGAATATTTTATCACAGCCACAGAAAACAAACTAGGACAATGGCTCTTGTTATCTGTACTAAACTAAGACCCAGCAGAGGAGCGGGTCTGGCTGGTGTTGTATGAAGGGTGGTAGAACTGAGACTGGGCCTGGACTTCTGGATCCCAACTGTGTGTTCCACTCCTACATCTAACCTTGACGGTAGCAAGACTTTGTCACACTCACTACAGAGCTGTGCAGACACCAAGGCAGGGCCGCAGCTGTTCCACTCCAACATCTCCAACAGAGTTGTGGTCCAGCTGCAGGGCCACAGGCCGCTGCAGGTGCCGCAGCACGAAGGCCAGCGCAGCACACTCTGCAGGGCCCACTCTGCAAAATGTCAACTTCAGGTGCCCAATGTCCAAGCGACGCACAGCCTCCTGCGCCAACTGCTCCTCCTGCATCTCATATAGACTCCGGATGAGCCAAATGAAGCCAGGCATGGCGTGCATGCTCTTGGCCTCTCCAGGCACAGCAGGTGGGATGGAGTGGAAATGCTCACGAAGGCTGTGGGCCAGACATGAGCGGGCACACGCGTGGCGCTGGAGCAGCACCCTCTGGGAGATCTGGCATGCGGCTAACAGGTCCCGATGCTCCCGGGACAGCAGACCGGCTACGAAGGCTGCTGTGAGCTGCAGGTTGTGTGGCTCAGCCTTCTGCAGTAAGGCCTCGTCACTGCGCCTCTTGACTCTGAAGCCATGGATACACAGATTAGGCAGCAGCCTAACCAGCAGGGAGCTGCCCAGCCGGCCACAGCTGAAGAGGCGCTTGAGGGAGGCTGCCGACGTGTCGGCACTGACCGCCAGGTAGAATGCTGCAAAAAAGCACTGGAAGGTAACGTGCAGGAATTCCAGGGGTGCCTTGCTCCCAGGCACCACGCTTTGCGCACGGACCAGGAAACCGAGAGAAATATCCTCAGAGTCAACCTGTGACGCCTGGAGTTGCTGGACTGAGAACACATAGCAGCTCATGGCCAGGCCCCGGAGAGCCAGGTGGCCGAGATGCAAGAGGGTGGAGAGCCGGCTTTGGAGAAGCCCAGGTCCCAGTCCGATGGGGTGGGAGTCTGGAGGGGAGGTGTGCAGCAGGAAATGTTGTAGGATCAGGAGGTACATGTCCGTGCTGGTCGTGGGGGACCCCCTGTTCTGCAGCAACAGCTCCCGATGGCATCTGGACACCATCCATGAGAAGACAGGGAGGTGGCACAGCCCATGCAGGGCTGAGGTGGCTTGGAGCAGGTGGATGAGGCGGTCCGCCACTCCAGGCTCCCTGTGGTGCTTTCTCAGGTACAGTTTGATGCCCTCTTCAGAGAAGCCCTTAAGGTGGCACTCTGTACGGACGAACTTCCTGAGGAGCGCTGACACAGCATCTGGACGGCTGGTCAGCACCTTGCAGGCGTTCTTCAGCAGGTTCCCCTGAAGAAGGTTGAAAAGCAGAGTCTGCACCGACGTGGGGTCAATTGGAGAGCAGTGACACTCCCGGTCTGTGAAGTGGAACTTGAACTCATCCAAGCCATCGAAGGTTAACAGGACACGGTCAGGATGGTCAAGGAGGAATTGGAAGACATCATTCTGACCGACATCAGGCCAACAACAATGCTCAAAGAGCAGCGTCCTTAGGGAGAGCGGTTTGGCCATGCATTGCAGCTGCCGGCAGCTGAACGGGAAAACGAAGAGAAACTCCTGGAAGCTCTGCCCGGTTGCCCACAACAAGTGCAACCGCTGCAGGAGAGTGCTCTTGCCACTGCCTGCTTCGCCCACCACCAGCACAGTGTCTGCGTCTTTGTTCAAGTGGCCGTGGGTACCAAAGAGTTCCTCCAGGCCCAGGAGCGCAGGGCTCTTCCGCAGGGTCCCAGCCATGCCCACCTCTGTCCGCAGCTCCAGGGTGTTCTCTGTGTAGATATCCTCCAGGCAAAGATTCTCCGAGCCATCATACGTACTGAGGAAGCGAGACTGGGCTGAAACCATGGTCCTCAGCTTAGATATGAACTTCTGACACTCAGCAGCTGGGATGCAGAAGAGGCAAATGAGGGTGAGATCATGGTCATAACAGGACCTGCGCAGAGAGTAAGCTACATGGGAGACGCCATGGGGGCTCAGAGAGAAGAACTAATGGGCATCTATCCTGTCTCGTCCGCTTACAAGCTGTGGGCTTTGGGAAAACCATGGAAGCATGCTAAATCTGGTTCTTCCCCTGTGAAGCAGGAAAACGGCAGAAAACATGTTGAGCAAACAGGGATGACACATGTCCCCTGGTAAGCATAGCATCCAACATGAAGATATTGGCCACTTTCATACTTAATATACACACCTGAAGGGGTCAGGGAGGGTATGACTCACAGGATCTGTACCCTGACTGTCTATTCCTGTTAGATGGCCTGAGACACCATTTAGTGTCTGCTGTCAATTTCTGAAGGAAACTAAAAGGGGACAGAGCTTAAGTATCCAAATTCTTAAGTCTGACCCCTGGACCTGCCATCAGCATGGCAAGCCACTTGGCCTTGCTGGGATCCAGTGTTCTTATATATGGAAATGGGTACTATTACAGCTTTCATTTGGAATGTCCCCACAGGTTCATGCGTCTGAGTGCTTGGTCCCCAGCTGATAGAAGGGTTTTCATTGACGTGAAACCTTTAGAATGCAGGACCTAGCTGGCTGGCATGGTCCACTGGGAGTAGGCCTCAAAGGTTATGGCCTGGCCAACTGTCACCTGAGCTCTCTGCTTCCTGTTGGTTCCTATAATGAAATTGGCCTCTCCTGTTACCACTTCCTGGGTCAAGGGGCAGCAGCCACCAACCCTCCTAGCCTAAACTAGGAGTACAGGCCTAAACTGGGAGCCAAAATAAACCTTACCCTCTCGAGCCAATGCTGTACCACAGCAAGAAAAGTGGCCACGGACAGTGCGCAGATATGATTCCTGGACCCGTGGCTGTATTACCTTTTATGGCTAAATGGAGTGGCCAAATGCAGAAGCTAACTCTGGAATTCAGGGTCACCAGGAGCCTTCACCAAGACCTTCTGACACTTCCTTCTTGCCCCTTCCTCCTCCCACCCATCTGAATCCAGGGGCTTACTGCTGGTCAAAGCACTTCCAAAGAGAACTTAGTTCCCCTTTCAGGAAACAGGGAAGTGCTGGTCAGAGGCTCAGGTCATCAGGACGTCATAGGACGTCAGTATCTTCACCCCACCATAGCCTCAATGGTCCCAGGAAAGCACCAGCTCATTTGGTCTCAACTCAGAGGCAAGCGAGTTCTTGTCGGAGAGCCCTTAGCCCACTGAAGTATCTGCAGAGACAAGAGAAGCGGTTTCCCCGTGCTGGCGCCACCCCCTTTTTATTTTCGTTTCTGATATAGGGCCTCACTATGGAGCCCAGTCTTGCCTCACACTTGCAATCTTTCTGCCTGAGCCTCCGTATGAGCTGGTTTTACAGGCTGCGCCTCCACATCCAGTATTCAATGTCTCTTGTTCTCAAAGGTGAGGACCCATAAGCTCCTTCTCTTGAAAGGCTGTATCAGGAGCACTGAGCAAACACCAAAAGATACTCAACCCCCTTTCCAATGCCCCGACTTGCTATGCCAGCCTCTAGCCACTATCAATATTACTAAAAGCTTCAAAACAAACAAACGAGCCTAGGCCTGACAAGATGGACCAGTGGGGAAATGCACTCGTCACCAGGCCGGATGACCTGAGTTCAATTCCCAAAATCCATATGGTGGAGGGAGACATCCAGCTCCCGTGGGTTGTCTTCTAACCTCCACATACATGCCAAGGTGCATTCACATGCATGTATGCAAACACACACACACAATAACTAGATAAACAAAATAAATGTAAAATGAAAATAAGCATAGTAAATTAAAAAATGTCTCCTATTTTCATTTTAAAAAAAAACCCAAATTTCTCTTTTCTTCTTCTTTTTTTTTTTTTTAAAACAGGGTCTCATGACTTCCAACTCGATACTGTGATGGAAGATGACCTTGAACTGGTCTTTCTGCCTCTACTCACAGGTGTCTGCAACCACGTCCACCTGCTTCACTGTCGTCTTTAGAAGCACCTTGCATAGGGAACTGTATAATGCCTGTGCAGCCAGCTATACTCGATGACATTGCAAATGCCTCACCCAGGGCCATACTGGCTTCTATGCAGGGAAGTCCATCTCCTGTTCTTGTATGAAATAGTGTACACCTGGCTGCCCAGCACAAGCCTTCAGCCTTCCTGCCCACAGGCTTGCTTCTGCACAGAGGGCAGAGCCAGAACTATTAGCCCTGGGCATATAGTTCATGGACCTTTAGTCCACACTAGCTTCCTTCTCAGCTATGAGGGAACAAGCCTGGGAGAGTAGCACGCTTGTATCCTCTCTGTGATTGATGATTTCTTCTCCCAAGCAGAGAAGGACACTACAGTCGGACCCATCTTCCGTACCTTGTCACTCAAGCCTCAGTTTTCTCATCGGTAAAAATGGAATAAAGTAATACCCACTTCTCAGGACTGTTGGTAAATAGCAGAGAAGGCCCGTAAAATGTGGGCAGGCTGCCTGGAATGTCTCAGCCGTGCCACCCAGGCCTCTTTCAGTTCTCAGCTGGTGAGCACCAACACGGATGAGACTGTGTTCTCTAAATCTGCCTGGTTATTAGTGCCAGAGCATGAGAGACTAGGTTTTATGGATCAAGAAATCCCAACCAGACCTGTGCCTGGTGTGGAAAGCACTTTGGACAGCAAGGCGCACCCATACCTGGCCCTCTCCATATACCATGGCTCCAGTGAGGGCCCAGTAGTTTGGGGAGCAAAGAAAGGGGGAGAGGCACTGTGTTGCCATACTTTGGATCTTCTCTAGCATGGAGTGAGTCAGGTAGTTGATAGACTTCAAATGGAGGAACTGAGTCTGGGGGCAGTTATGCAGCAATTCTTGAATGCTAGCTGCCATGTGCTTTGCTCTTTAACCAGGAGTCTGTGTTGACTTCCTCTTCTTTTCTGGTTAACCAAAAGGGACAAATACATACCCTCACAAGGCAGGCACAGTGAAGCTGGTAATTCCTTGATGTGCTGTAGAAGGAAGGCAGCCAGTCCATTCGCCTTCACTGTGGCGAGATCAAGCAGCCTTCTTGCCTACAGACAAAAAAAAAAAAAAAGGCCATTACTTTTTTCAGGAAGACCAATGGAGAAGGAACGGTGCTGGAAGGTTTCTATTAAAAGTTGGCCATCCCTAATCTGAAGAGCCCAAATCCAAATGCTCTTAAGTCTAAAACTTTTTGAGTGCTGACATGATGTTAAGAGTGGAAATTGAAACATTGTATAAAATTAGCTTCAGGCCATGTGCATGTGAAATATAAATGACTGTTGTCATTAGACATGGGTCTGGTTGCCAAGGTATTCATTGCTTATGCAAATATTCCAAGACAAAAAAAAATATCTGAAACACTTCTGGTATCAGGCATTTAGGAATGGGGAAAAAATGCCACCAACAATATAATTTATACAGATTCTGCTTCTATCATAATGAAAGCCCAGAAGAACAACTGTGCTACCGTCTGCGTTTAGCAAACAAAGATGGTGCAGTCGTGATTGGTGAAACAAACGCACAGTCAGTCAACCTGGCTCTCTCTCAAAAGCCACTGAAGGAATGGAGAGCCAACAACAGGGGGAAAGGGACAAAATAAATAAATACATAAACCTATCAAAGTTCAACAACAGCAACAAAATGATTTTGGAAGCTGTAGGCCCTTGGAAGGCAGGGGCTACGCCAAGTCCCATGGCCTGAATGCCTAAGTTCTTTCTCTACGCAGAACCCACGTTCTCCCCCAGCCTAAACTGCCCTGAGTCTGGGACCTGCACACCCAACTGCCCATTTTCTTCCTCCACTTAAATGTGTCATGAGCACATACACATGCCAGGCACCCATGCCAGGCACCCATGCCAGGCACCCATGCCAGGAGCGCAAGCCTTTCCTCATTCCTGCTCAAGTCTCCTCCATTCTTCTTGCTGCTCAGCCCAACATCTGAAATCCCTTTGCAGTCCCTTCTCTGCACTTCATCGACACATCCTGTGGTCTCCACCTTCAAAGTACCAGAATCACGTTGTCCAACAGAAGCAGAGTGCAAGGGATGCAAGCAAGTAATACAGGCATTGAGGCCTTCTAACTGCCACATTCTTCAGTAACAAGTAATAGGTGAACTTAGTCACAGATCACACTTAAGCACAGTATCCAAAATATTGCCACTTCAACACATTGTCATCATAAAAAAATAGTGAGATGTGCTGCTTACCCCCCCCTTTTCTGTTAAGTCTTCTACAGCTGGTACATTTAGACTCCTGGGGTGGTCCAGCTGTGTGGCAGTGCTCAGCAGCCACCCAGGAGCTGATGTCTATAAGCTACGGAGCCTGTACCTACATGAGCCCTACTGCTGTCCTGCTCCAAGCCACGCTGTGGCTCACCTGGAAACTGCTTGGCTGCCAGTCTCTGCACTGCCCCTGCCTATAGTCCATCCCCAGCACCACGGTCAAAAGAGAATGGTTGCTTCATCATCAGAGGTGAGTATTTCACAGGTCAATCAGCCCACACAGCCCTAGCATAGATGTCCAAGCTATGAAGCCAGTGGAAAGCTCTCTACAAAGTAGACAAGCATCCTGGCCTGAGACCATGTGAAACCAGACTTCATCTCTTCTGCTGCCTCCTCCTCTTCCCCTTGAATGCTCCACCTCACACTGGCCTCCCTCTCATGCAATAAACATGCCAGCCGGGCCTGGTGGCATACACCCAGGACTTAGGAGGCAGAGGCAGGCAGATATATGTGAGTTTGAGGCCAACTGAGTCTACAAAACAAGTCCGAGGTAGCTAAGGGTCCTTCTGCTATGATCTATCCCCAGGTGAGGTGCAAACATCTCCACAAGGTTTTCTCTTTTGTTCATTGAGTTAGTCTCAGTAGCAGAAGCAGTATGAAAGAACTGAATGGACAGACGGATGGACGGACGGATGGATGGATACACTGGTGGATGGTAGAGGACTCCTGAAAGCTAAGTTCTAAGACCTCGATATTGCTGTTGAAAAGCATGTCATGTGCAAAGCTCCGGCATGGTAGCATCAAGTACGTCTTTAACGCAAGGAGACAATGAAGACAAGGAACAAGTGAAAGAATTCTTGACATAGATCATCAGGCCTTCTTCCCTACTCCAAACGCTAACTAGCTGCTATCCCTTCCTGCCATGCAGTCTGGAGATCTGCATTCTGAAAGGATGAAAGAGGATCCCAGGACTGGAAGAAGCCAGGCTGCCGCACCCCATGGTTTAAATTACCATGTGCAAAGTGAATGCCGAGGCTACCTTGCCACTACCCAGACCACTCATCCTCCAGGCTCCTGGACCTAAACAAGGCAGGAGGCTTTCTACTGGAGGAACTTGGTAAACCCAGAAGAAAAAGTTCTACAGTTATAAGCACTGCCATTTTCTGGCCATCTATGGTGGAAGTCACAGTAGACCGGTTTTACCTGCCTGCTCACTAAATTTCAAAATCTGTCTTTTTAATAATAAGACAGACAACAAAGGCTTACCTATGCCCAAGGAAAGTGTCAAATATGAGCAATCAGAGCCAAATTAGTAGGGAAGGAAAAGCAACTTGAAAGTACAAAGGTTTATGCAGGGAGTGAGCAATGTCACAAGACCAGGATTTCCCCAGACTCATCAATGTCCTTGTCACTGACCCACTGGAAGGTCCCTGACAGACTCCCAAGGAAGGAGAAGTTGGCCCACATCTCCAGACCTGGGAACTTTCATCTAAGAAGAAAAGGCAACGTTGCTGTTTCCTGACACAGTTATGTTTAGCTTGCTGCTTTGTTTTTTAAACCAAAATATACTGTTTGGAAACTCCTTGCAAAAGACACAGAAAGCATAAAGAAAAGCAAAGGAATAATTAATAGACATGTCAGATCATTGGTTGCCTCTGCTGGCCACACCTGGTGGACAGGGTACCAATAATGCAGTTTCTTCATCTGGATGTGGGAAAGTTCTTACCCTAGACATATGACATTTATACACACTATTTTGTAGGTTTAGCACATCTCCCAATTTAAGACTATCTAAGTTGGTGGTATGACAGGAGCAAGCAAGTCAGAGCTGAGGCTGCCACCTCAGCCCCATTGGCTTTAGCATCTGCATGAGTCACACAGACAGCTGGCATCACAGTTGGTGTTACCAGCCTGAGGTTTCCCAACAAATGTTATCCCAGCTGAGCAGAACTACACGAACCTCACACATCTTTACAACACAAAGGGAAGTGTACACCCCTTGGAAAGAAACAGACCAAGATTCAGTTCCCAGCTAGCCCTTCCCAAATGGCCAATGTGCTCTTCCTTCTCAACAAATACAGTGAAGGGCGTAACAGGGCTTAACCGTGCCACTAGAGAGAAGGCTGGCCCAGTGCTTAGTGTTCACCTTGGGCTCAGGAAGCAGGGGCAAAGGGGTCCCTCAGATCAAATTCTCAGCTCTGCTACGTACTGTTCCTTCCACTGTCCCATCCCTTGTCTCACTCCCTCATCTCAAGTGTTGGCTTTTGCAGTACACTTAGTCCATCCGTTCATCCTTCCTTCTTTCCTTCCTTCCCTCCTTTCTTTTGGCACAGGATCTAACTATGCAGCCTTAGCTGGCCTGAAACTCAGAGTGATGGGATTAAAGGGATTTGGCCCCAGTTAGTTCTTCCTTGGGATGCAGTCTTTGCTCACTGTGTATCCGATTGATGTAGGTTAGATCATGCTCTCCTTTTGTTTTCCTTCTGGGCATCTACAGACATCCATTGCTTGCTTCTTTGGCCTGAGAGTTATCACATTTTCTTTTCTTGGACAGTCTAGATAATTTTGCCATTAATTCTGACATCTCCTCTGGGGCCTAAGCATTAGCTGCCTTATTCAAACCCTTCAGAGAATCCCTCCATGGGTACACTGCTGAACACTAGACCAAAGGTGATGGTCACAATCTGGTAACTTGTGGGTGAGTTGAATCTATCTCCACAGCTGGTCAGAGGAGGCACCAAGGAGGGACAATAAATATGTGCTTTTGAATGCCAATGGAAGGTACACCGGAATATATGTTCAGGCCCCATGTGCGGTAATGAGAAGGCCCATGTCATGCGTGTTCTACAAAGACTTACCCACTTCTAGCAGCTTGAAAGCAACACTGAAAACAGGTGTTCATTTCAACCATCTCAGCCAATGCTTACCCACACTCGCCTGAACTCCGACTCGCCCATTCTCACACTGCAGTTCACCAACAAGTGGACACCTATCGCATGCAAAGCTCTCAACACAGCAGACTTAAGCCTAGAGCTTGGCGTATGGTAAGCCTCATAGATTCTGGCTGAATGAATAAGTCAAGGACAAAGTCTACCACTGATTTCCTGAAACTGTAAGGCAGAATGTTACTATTTTCCATGCTTTACAAGCAGCCTGATGACCACCATGTACAAGAAAATAAAAGTTTCAGAAATACTCAGCAATACTATTCTGTCCTTGTGGTTTCTGTTGAGTCACTGCATTTCAGGGGCAGTTACTCACCAACAATATCACATCTCAAATCCTAGGTGGGCATTTAAACTATATTGGCACACAGTGGGCTATACTATTAAATTCAGATTTAATATAGTGCAGAATTATTCTCCATTGAGCTGTTGATTTGAAGCAGACAGCAATAAAAGTCTACAAGCACAGAGGGCCACTCAGCAAAAATGAGAGCAGCCAGGGGTGATGAGAACAGGGCTTTCCAGACACTTCTGTAATTGATACATGGGTTATCAGAGAGTGTTCTCCCACATCAGAGATTAACAGCGTCCTGCAGATGAGGAGACTGAGAGAGGCGAAATGAAGGGTACAGGATAAGGCAAGGACAAAGAAAAAAGCCTCAACACTGCAAACAAGAAAAAAGAAAGGGGGGGGGAATAGATGGAGAGCTTCTAAAAAGAAACATCCAGTCACACACAACTGGCCTTGAAATGCTCCATTCTGGCTGCTGAGGCCAAGTTCTGAGCTGCCAGCCATCAGAAATGATTTGCCAGCACAACCCTCGGCGGCTCTGATCTGCCTGGCCAACTGTGCATGGGAAATCCCACCAATCGTGTTACTCCGTGGGGCTGACTCCACAAGAGCCACAGTCTTTGTGACTAAGGAGACTGCTCCTGTGAATTCCACTGGCACAGGCCACAGCTTACCCTCTGGGATGATGTGAAGATTGGCAGCCTGATCTCATCACACTCATACTGGCTCAGGAGTCCACCCTCCCTTGCCAGCTCTAGCACAGCTTCTACATGGTTGTAGAGTCTCCGGACGATGGCTGGACGGTGACGCTGCAGGTCTCTGGTCGGATGAAGGGAGCCAGTGTCCCAGTATCCATGGAGTTCAGAGGTGTGACTGTTGGCCTGAGCCTCCTGCACAGCTTCAAGGAGCTTCTGACAGCCCCAAGCACCCTTGCTACAGACTGTGTCCAGCAGGCGCCTGGCAGAATGGGAGAGAGGTTGGCCAGGCAGGCTGAGGCCCTCATAGTCCTCCCAGGACAGCACATCCCAGGACAGCAGCCAGTCCAAGATGCTCTCGAAACCCTCCAAGGACCCTGAGACCAACAGTGCCACCAGTTGGCTCCTCTGTGCCTGGAAGTCTTCCTGTGAGCACATATCACAACCTGTAAGAGAGCAGGGGAGGTCAGGAAATGACTCATCTAGAAGCCAGGCCTGGGGTATAGGGAGCAACCTACACCAAGCCCAAGGGGGCCACACTTGTACTCAGGCATTTTCCAGTCTAAGCGGGCCCCTCCCCACCCAAAGTGTGGTCCTGGGATAGCAAGAAACTAGCTGCAGTTCCCATGAGTTTAAAGCAACCACCATGTTTGCTCTCCACCTTAGGAAGTTTTACCAGGCAGCACTGACAGGAAAGGCAGCCTCCTAGGAGGGAGGGAACAGTTCCCTCCTAGCAGGGTGACAGGCTCTTCCAGAGGTCACACTTAAGTCAGACAGCTTTGAAACCACTGCATCCATTAAGTCCACCATAAGCACTTCACTGAAAGACTTTACTTCCCACTCTCAGAAAGCAGGTGATGTGGCCAGTCCCATCAACCAAGAGAAAACCGAGGCACATGGGCAAGGGATTTGGTAGTACTTGTCATAACTGGGAAAGACAGAGCTGGGGTTTGAACCCAGTGGAACTCCTTGCCTGATGTAAAACTTTGTCGCTTAGCTTCGGTATCCGCAACAGGCCCCCAGCTCTGCCCTCTCTGTATATAACTCATTACTGCTCCGTGGGTAGAGCTGGGGCTTGCTGTAAAGGTGCCAATCCAGGTGAAATGGGACATCAGAGGACACACCAAGTTGGTATGCTGGCCCTGATAGCAACACACACGCACGCGCACACACACGCTGGCCAAGGGCTCCCGCTCCCTCCTATGCATTTAGCAGCACACACTACGTACAGCTGAGCTGTCACTATCCTCAGGAGCTAGTGCCGAGCTCGGCCTTCAGACCCAAATGCCTGGGCTTTGAGAGGAAGGGGCTGTGAGAAGCTTCAGGCATGGAGATCCCTGAGCAGCAAAGAAAAATCTCGGTGTGCCAGTTTGTCTTTGCCACTGTCCGAGATAAGGGCTGGGGCTGTGCCCAGCGAAAATGAAAGTGAAAAAGTGCAGGCATGGAGGAAGCAGAACAAAGGCTTCCTTTCAAAATCTGGAACCTTCTAACATGTTGGGGTGGGGTTGGGGGCGGAGGCAGTTGGAAATGGCCTGGGAGTCCAGGTCTTTCCTGTTAGATAGTGGCATTTTCCCCCTGTGGCGGGCCCACACTGCAGGCTAGGTCTCCTTCACTCTGAAACCCCTAAGCTTGCCTGGCACTGGGTTCTCTGGAAGCCCCGGGATGTTAACTCCAAGCCTGCCCAAGGAAGCCTGGGCTGGAATGCTCTGGGGCTATCTTCAGTCTCTAACTCAGCACCACACTACTAACACGCAAGATAAAAGCCCAGGGCTGGCCAGACTGGGAAACCGAAGCAGCGAAGCTACCTGCGCATCTGGCAGCTTAGGAGAGAAGGTATCCCTACTATGGAGGCTACTGTGAACCAGGAGCTAAGAGTTCTCGCTGGCTAAGCAGGTCACCTATGCCCTGTGCTCAGCCCAAGACAGAGAAGCCAAGGATGGGGAAGAGGCAGGTGGCAGCAAGGGGCAGCATGAGCTGTGGCCAAGTCATGGAGTGATTCTCAACTTTGCAAACCAGCCAAAGGTGGGGCACCAACTACCAAACCATCCCTGCCCTGGTCCTGAGGAAAGTAATCACTGGCCCTTCGTACTCTGAGAACAGCATAGAAGCTAGGTCGGCACACTGGCCCGAGGCTTGAGGTGCAGCCAGGAAGTTATGAAGGGTGAAAAATACTGAGATTTGATGGCCTGAACTTTACCTACAAGGATGCTGGGTATGCTAACTGCTTCCTTCTTTTGCAGAGCACATGAGCCAAAAAGTCCAGAGGCACTGCATAGGCAGTCCCTGATTCAGCTGACCCCACCCTAGGGGAAATCCCAAAAGTCTGAGCAGGAAGTCTGCACTGGCAGGCCAACACACAGAACTTGCTAGTTCCTGGCAGTCCTGGCACCAAAACCCGGTATATCGACCCTCGCTTTCCCTCCAAGCCCCTAGCGGTGTGAGATGTCTCCAAGAAATTTACTTACCCAGACAGAAACAACTGTGAGAGAACAGAAGCCCTCCCCAGAGATGCCAAGAGCTTGCTGGATACCCAAACCATTCACACACAGGCAATGAAGTCAGTCATGTAGACAACAGGCAGGGTGAGGCAAGAAAGCATGAGGCTTGGTGCTCTGCCTCCCACCCGCAGCTGGAAAGTCCCATCTTGCCAGTCTCCTGCAGACCACAAAGCAAGGCACATCCTCAAAGACCAATTTAGCCAGTCCCCTGCCTCTGAGAAGGCCATCTTCCTATCCATCTTAATCAGCTAGAAAAGAAAACCAAGGCTTGATACCATCCTCCAGACCAACTGAGAAAGTTCTTTATCAGTTAGTTCTAACATCCTCCTCTTGCATCTTCCTATCTGGTTGGGCTTGCCCTCTCCAAGCTAACCACACTGTCTGACTCCCCTGCTGTCTCGATCCAGCTAGTGTTGCCTTGGAGTCACTCTTAGGCTCTGCAAGGTGCAACCCAAACAAAAGGGGGACCTCCTTGCTGAAACAGAGTCAAGGGTATCTACAGAGGCCTCTCTCATCCTCAAGCCTACCCCACACTCCCATGCCTTATCACCTTCTTTCTTTCCAGGATCACAGGTTGTTAGGATTTTGGAACCAAACCTGCTTCTGGGTTGCCTAACAACTTATGATGTCATCATGTGTCACTGGCCAGGTGGCCACACCTGGAAGACATGGTTACCTTGCCCCTTAAAGGGACGAGCCGGCCATGTGGTCTTTCTTGGTCCTTTCTCTCTTGGTCTCTCTTGCTCTTGGCCTCTTCTCTCTTGGCCTTCTCCCCTTTCTCTATCAGGGTGTCCCCCTTCCTTCCCCCTCTCTCTCTTTGTCCCCATTATGTCCTCCTCTCTCTTCTCTCCCTCTCTTTATATCCACCTAATAAACCACTTTCATATAGAAGATCTGTTGTATGCCTAATCGTCATTATTTAATTTGTCCCATAACATTACACAGGTAGCCTGGTTTTCCTAAAGTTCCCAGCTGAGGACTTTGTTCAAGGCTGAAAATCTCCTTGCAGTGCCCCAGACCTCCCGCAGATGGAGAGGAGATGCAGAGAGCTGCAGAAGACGGCAGAAGACGCAGAAGACGGCTTGTCCTAGCCAAGCTCTCCCTGAGGCACCAACAAACCACACTCCTCCTTCCCCCCATCTCTGAGCTGCTCCCAGGAGACCAGTTCCCATCAGGGGATAACCGGGCTAAGTCATCCTTCATTTCTACTCTCCTTTGTTTGGGCCTGAACTGCCATCCCCAAGTTTACTCCTTGTCCTTCTCTGTCCCCAACCTCTCCACACCCACGACCAGTAAGAATGCAAACCACAACTTCCAGTTATTCTGTTCTGTTGGGAGCGTTTGTTCTACCTGTTCTAACCAACAACTTGGAGCACTTCCCTGGAAGCCATGAAGGATTTTTCTGATCTTTCTCCCCACTTAGCAGCCTCTCCTTCTATCCCTCCTGCCTCCAAGGTTGGTTTCTCACCGCCCCCATCCCCCAAACTGAATGAATCACTGCCGCTTCTCTGCCCACAGGCTTAATTCCCAACTGTCTGGTAGCGATGCTTGCCAGCTCTGGACACCATTCAACATCATGTGGTGCCTACCAAAATCTCCAAACAGAAAAATACAAAATCAACCACTGGCTCCTCCTCCTAACAGCTCCTCTCTCTCAGGTAAAGGCAGCCCACACTCCCACAATCATCCTCCTCTCTCATGCATCACGGACTATCTGCACGACCTTCAACAGACCCCAAGTTTGAAAGCCAAGGATTCTCTCTCCACCTCTCTCTATACCACAATGTAAGCTTATAGTTTCCTCATCTGCCATGAACCCCTGTCAGCCAGTCTCAGCCTCACAACTAGATGAACCTGCCAAACCCTAAGCCAGAGCAGGAGACTTACCTGTTTACAGCCCATCAGCCGCTCCCATCATAGTCAAGCCAAAAGCAACCTCAAGAATAGCAACCTCAAGCCCAATATAAGAGACCTCAAGTTCCACCCCTCTCCTCCTAGCCCCCCCTCCTCCAACCTTCCCATCTCCACCCCTCTCTACTCCCTCCACCCTGCTGCAGCCCCTGGCCTGCTCCTTATTTTCAGATAAAAAGAAGTCTGCTCTGGTCTGTCATGCTCCTGCCTTTGCATAAGCTTTTTGCTCACAGGACATCCTCTGTCCCCCAGATAGTCTCACGATGTGCCCATCATCTCCTTGAGACTCCGCTCAGTAGTTACTGTCTCAGAGGGGCCTTCCTCTGCTATGCAAAATTGTAGTCCCCAATCCCTGTCCCAGCCTTTTTCCGCACAGTACTTTCTGTCATCTGACATGGCACATCTTAGTATGATATATTCCTGAAGCTCTTCTCATCATGTCCCTGAGCATCACCCAGTGCATAGATGGGGTGTGAATGTGTTTGTTCCACAAAGCTTGGAGAGGTAGCTGTGGAACCAGAGAGTAGAAGTTCCAAGGCACAGACTTTGGCGAAACAGGCGAAGAAGCCACCTTGTCAGCAGTAAGTTGCCGCTCACTAGGCCACTTTGCAGTGCTGACCTGGGTGGGAGAGAGGGGGCAAAATGGAACCAGTGCCAACTTGGAACTGCAAGTGGAGGCCAACTGGTGGCATCAAGTGACTAAGAAACCAGCAGCCCCAATAGCCTTACAACAGACTGAACAGAACAGAGGCAATGGAGCTGTCCCTTTGGTCTTTTTCACCAAGAGGACACAGATGGGTGATAGGCAGGCTTTTTCCTCCGTGGGACACCGACCCTGGGAGAGATCACAGTCCACAGAAAAGCCAACACCCCGATCACAGGCCAGGCTCTGAAAAAGACATAGAAGTCAGAGCTTCAGCCAGAGGCTTGGGAGCTAGCTTGTCCAGACACAGGCAGCAATAATGGCTTGAGAAGCCAAGGAGAGAACCAAGCCTTAAGGCTGAGTACAGGGCTGGCAGTGGGCAGGTGGGAGAGGGTCTCTCCAGGCAGGAATAGGATTTGACCCCAATTCCCACACTCACAAATAAGGGCGCAGGCAGAAGACAGACATCAGGCAAGGATTATGGAGCAGCAGCTGGGGTTAGAAAGTATATCTCTGAAGACTAATGGCCGAGAAACTAAGGCCCACAGAGAAGGGGCAAGTGGGCCAGGAAGAGCTCCTGCTAAGCCCCAAAGCAGGATTTTCTCCCTCTGAGTAGGAACCTCACCTGAAAGTTTTCCCTCCATTGTCCCAGCCACCCCCTAATCACATCCTCCCTTTCAGACTTCAAAGGATCCTGGGGACTTCGATGTGCTACCCAGGCTGTAGCTCTCTTCATCCTCAATGACCACAGCCTGCCATAATTCCCCTCGAGACACCCCTTTCCTTCCACAGCCTATCTGCTCTGCTGATGCTTCCAGGAGAAGCACAGTCCCTTCCAGGAACGCAGCCAGGCCAGCTCCAGGGCTAGCTAGCAGCGTCCTGCGGGTGGAACATTTGGCACTCGTGGTCTCCACCACACCACGCAAGTGCCCGGGAACCTTCGGTCTGCCCCCAGAAAACCCTCCTTTCCACACACAAAGCCACCCCCAAGCACCGCAGACCGCAGAACCAGCAGGCAAGCACTCACCGCCAGCTGCAGCACGGGGGGGGGGTTCCTCCGCCTGCTTGCTGGTGACTCCCGGGAGGCACTGGAACTCCCTCAGTGATCTCGCCCCGCCCATAGTCCCACCCACCCAGCTGGAGACCCCGCCCACTCCGGCAGGCTGGAAGGGCGGTCACACCCATCCCGATTGCCCTGTGGGGACCGGTGAGGCTGGTATCCCGGAAGAAGAGGCCAGACTGCGGTATTGTGTGTCCTGCCCTTGTGTGGCCCGCTTTCTGGGCTGCGTTTCAATCAGAAGGGAACTACAAAGTCCTGGGAACAAGAAAGCCAAAGGTGTCGGTAGGAACCGATGCACCCTCCCTGGGATTTATAAGCCTTTAATCAGCTACAGTGTTAATGGCCACGTTTCCAGAGAGCTGTGCTGGGTGGAGATTTGTTAGGGCATTTAAAGTTCCTCTTTTCCCTTTGGCTGTCAGTCGCCTGAAAGCTGAGGAGGGAGGTCACAGTGTGGTGGTAGCTCTTGCCTCCCACGCAGCCAGCCTCCTAGGGCTCTGCCACCGTCCTAACCAGAATTCCATAGCATTTGTTTCCATTGCATTCATTTGATTTTATAACTTCTTCTTAAGGTTATTTCTAAAGACTTGAATGTGAGGTCTCGTTTAAAATAGAGAGAGAGAGAATAGTTGACATGGACATGGAAATTGTGTATAAAGTGAGGACATGACTGCTCCAAGGTATGGTTGAGGGAAGGTCTTTATTGTAGATAGGAAGGAGAGAACAGCCAGGAGCATCTGGAAGAGGCCAGAGCAGAGAAAGAAAGTAGCAGCTTGAACATAGCCAGCTGAACATGACAAGGCTTGGGGAGGGGCTGAGGGAGAATTGGGGAGGGGGAGACATGGCTAGGGAGGGAGAGATAGAGACAACGAAGAGAGAGGTGGATCAAGAGAGGAAAACAATAGAGGAGGAGCCAAGAGGGAGGATGACCAAAATGCCGGGGCTCTATAGGAATGAGAAGTTGCGGGGAGGGAAGCCGGTGAGCTGGAGAGGTTTAGGTAGGAGGTGAAGTGAAGAGAGCGAGCCTGGAGGCCAGCAGGAGCTTTGCTATGCTAATAGGCACCTCAGACTTCCAACTGTCTGGAATTTCTTTTGAACCCGGCAGTGTGTGCTGGACTGTTCACCATAACTCCCTTAACCCCACCTGCCGAGATCTATTCTCGTCCCTAACGTACGGTGAAGAAAGTGGAGCACAGAAAGGTTCATTAGCCTGTCCACACTGCAAAAGCACCATCGAGATGCCTCAGGCATCAAAGGCTGTGCACTAACCACTGCCTCACACTGCTTCCTGGTAAGTACCTGTGCAGGTGGTCCCCAGCCAGCCCAGGTGGCAGCTGCTGCTTTTGAAAGATGAGTTCTTCCCTAGGGAGAGAACCTGATGGTGCTCAGTGCTGTCTACAGGGTGTTCAGCACAAGCTGGTGAGAGTCCAGGCGGGCAGCAGGAACAAACTTCTTAGCACGGGGACAGGGTTTCTTGTTGTTTGTTTTAATTTTAAACTTCTTACATTTATTTCTTGTTTGTGGGTGTGGGTGCTTATATGCGTTGGCACACGAATGGAGATCACAGGGCAACTTTCAGGAGTCAGCTCTCTTTTTACCACGTGGGTTCCTGAGGATCAAGCTCAGGTTGTCTGTCTTGGCAGAAAGCACTTTTACCCAGTGAGCCATCTCAACCGCCCCAACTTTTATCACATTGTTTTGAGACAGGATACAATGTAGCACAGGCAGATGAGGAGGTGGCTGAGGCTGAGGCTGAGCTTGAAGACCTAAGATTACAGGCCTGTGTACCCTTGCCACTCCACTTTTCCCTGTTTAGATGATGCCCGGGATTGAACCCTGTGCCTCTGGCGTGCTTGGCCTGCACTCCAGGCACTGACCTACATTTCCAACAATAGCAGATGTCCTTAGAAAGGGGACTGTATTCCTTACGGTCAAAGGCCTACCTGCAGTGATCCAATTCTACCAGCTAGCCCCACTTCCTAAAGGCTCCAGAGCTTTACCAAATAGCATCACCAGCTGGACCCAGTACTTAAAGCATGAGCCTGTGGGGCATTTTACACTCAGCCATATCACTGACAGGCAAGTAGAACCTGGAGAACTCATCCTGACTCGAACTCACTCACACTCCACATTCAACCCCAGGAGCAAAATTTTGGGATTGCATTGGCTAGTGTCAGCCTGACATGAGCTAGAGTTATCTGAAAGGAGAGAAACTCAATTGAGAAAATGCCTTTATAAGACCTGGCTATCAGACAACTTAATTAGTGATCATTGTCCGGGAGGGCCCAGCCCATTGTGGGTGGTGCCACCCCTGGACTGGTGGTTCTGGGTTCTATAATAAAGCAAGGCAGTAAGTAGCACCCCTTACTGCATTAGCGTCTGCATTAGTTCCTGCCCTGCTTGAATTCCTGCTTTTGATGATGAACTGCTGTCTGGAACTGTGGGTGAAATAAACCCTTTCCAGACCGAGTTGCTTTCGGTCATGGTGTTCCACAACAATAGTGACCCTAACCACGGCAGGGATGTACCCTCAGAGGGTCTCCAGAATGCAGCCGCTTCTTACCAGATCTACTGCAGAGCAATTGCCCCTGGGCTGACACATTTCATCTTGGAGAGAAGGTCCCTAAGACTCAGAGTGCTCTAAAGAGAGGTCAAATAGTCCATCCTTTCAGAGGAGCTCTTAAGACTCAGGAAGTCACCTGGTGTTGGTGGCACATACCTTTAATCCCAGAACTCAGGAGGCAGAGAGGCAGGAGATCTGAGTTCAAGGCCAGTCTGGTATACAAAGCAAGTTCTGGGACATCCAGGTCTACACAGTGAAACCTTTCTTGAAACAAAACAAAACAGAAAAGACTCAGGGAGTTCTAAGGAGAAATTCCTTAGAGAACAAGAAATAAACAACTTCTGCGTTTCAGGAAGTCCCTGAAACTAAGTACACTAGGACTCTCCCTCCCAAGCTTATAGAAGCAATAAAACCCGTGAGATACTCTTAGACCAGCTTAGCTGCTTGGAGTTGATGTATTACAGCCTAGGTCTCCAGCTTTCATGTCTTCCATGCTGGAGTGGGCTTTTAATGATGCAGCTGTCTTGTCTTTGAGTTATTTCTGATGCTCTAAGTAACCCCTCACCTAGGTTCCTGTAAATGTATTGGTTCACCAAATTGAACTTTGGTGGTATCCTTACATTGGTCTGTCATCAATTACCTGAGTGAGGTGATGTATTGCACAGTGAGAGCCACCATTGTTACCTGGGTCCAGATCTCCATCACTCACCTATGGCCGTTCTCCATGCTTCCAGCAACATTACCTTAATAGAGGAGCCCTAGAGAGACTCTCTCAGAAAGTCAAATCATATCACTTCAGATGAGGATGCCTGTAACGTTCAAAGTAACAGAACATACCTACAGTGTCCATATAACCTCCATGTGACCCCAGCTCTCTCTCTCTCTCTCTCTCTCTCTCTCTCTCTCTCTGACCCTTCTAGTGATTAATGTTGGTGGGCAATTTAACTGAAGTGAGAACATTCAGAAAATAGACAAAGCACACATCTGGATGTCTATGAGGGTGTTTCCAGAGTAGATTTGGTGAACTGAGTGGGAAAGGCCTGCCCTATTTATGGGTAGTATTGTCTACTAGGGTAGAACAATATCAGCCAGATGATGACTGGAAAAGGGTGCTTGTGTCCTCTTGCTCTGGCTCTCACTCGTAAGATAAAGAAACAGAGGTCCCCAGAGGCTACTGGCTTCCTTACACTGGGCCAGCTACCCAGAGTGGCTGGCTAAGTCCCTGTCCTTCTCTACCCCCTTTACCAAGACCTTAGCTATCACTCAGTGGCCACACCCATGGCCCCTCCCCGACCATGGGACTCTCCTTGTGCTGTAAGCTGTGAGGAGCAGCTGTGCGTATGTTGTTCACCATCCAGATCATGTTCCCTGCCTGTCCTCTTCTCCTACCCAGCTGAGGGGTTTGGAGGATCAAGGCACCCAATGGCCTTTGCTGACCTCTGCCTCTGGCACAGGCATGACCCAGGATGGTTATTGAGTGACTTCCCGAAAGGTGGGCAAGTTCACTCAGGCACTTGTGACTGAGCTGCCTCAAACCTGGAGGGCCCAGGGTGTCTGGGTGTCCTGGGTGGCGTGTCTCCTCACTCCGTTCCCACCTGAGAATCAGAACCAGCCTCTGGCCAGCAGCCCGCCTCCTGTCCTAACCCATCCCTGAACAGTGAACTAGGAAGGTTTTGCTGAGTGCCTGTGATCCGGTCTGAATGTCGGGATCCTCCTCAGCCTTGTTTGTTTGTTGTTTGTTTGTTTGTTTTGATGTGTGTGGGTACTTTGCCTGCATGCACAGATATGTGCACCAAGTACATGCCTGGTGCAATGGATCCCCTCGAACTGGAGTTACAGACGTGAGCTGTCGTGTGGGTGCTGGGAATTGAACCCAGGTCATCTAGAGGAGCAACCAGTGCTCTTAACCATTGAACCATCTACCTAGCCCCTCTCCTCCTAACCACCCCCCCCCCAGGGGTTAGGAGGCTGGGGAGGTGATTCTGTCTTGAGCTCAGAGCCTCCTGAAAGGATTAATGCCTCTAATTAGGAGTCCCAGGGGATCCCATGAGAGCAAAGCAGAGATGAAGCACAGCCATTTGTGATGGGCCCTCTGCGGATACCCAAGCTGCAGGAATCTTGATCTTTGGCTCCCCAGCCTCCAGAACCACAGGAAATAAATTCCCGTCCTTAATAAACCACGTGGTCTGTGGTATTTTGTGACAGCAGCAGGGATCATCAGACGCCTAATAAATAGAAGCCAGCTCTCCCACCCCGGCCTCGCTGAGGTTCCTCCATCTCCGTTGTCCCACAATGCTTCTAGAAGCATCTGCCTTTACAAATTACATTTTGACGAAATAAATATTGCAATGGAATGTTTGAGGAACGTTTCCACAACAAGGCCTGGTGGCGCACGCTTTTAATCGCAGCACTCAGGAGGCAGAGGCAGGCAGATCTCCGTGAGTCTGGGGTGAGCCTGGTCTGCATAGAGAGTTCCACGGCAGACAGGACTACATAGTGGCTCCCTGTCTCAAAAACGAAGAAAGGAAACGAAAGGAACAGCGCTTCCTCAGTCTCCACCTTGAACAACTTCCCTCGGGAGACGGTGCCCCACAGCTGTGCGGCCTGGCGAAGCAGCAGAGCAGCCCCATGTTAGCCGGCTCCTGCCCATGCCAAGCTCTCATCGCGACCTCACCACATGACAGGCCTGATGAGAGACGCTTTGTTGTCTCCACTTCACAGCTAATCCTGACACAGACCCTGGGCTTGAGGGGCGAACGGGAAGCTCAGCACAGCGACAGGCTCTTTAAGCCTGTGGTGCAGAAATGAGGCCAGCGCCCTCGCCCTTCCTATTGTACCTCAACGCAGCCACAAAAGCAGTCAGCAACACACTTGGTCTGCACCCCCAATTTAAAGTCCTGCAGAATTAACAATCTTTGAAATTTTTTTTTAAAGCCTTCGCGCATGCGCAGCTGCAAAAAGGATGCGTGACCAGGTTTCGGGTCACTTGCTGAACACCCCACCAGCTCAGGTTTCTTTGGCAGGCCTGGAGAGGTCCTCCCCAGGTATAATCAATTCCTATTAATTTCTCAAAAGAGCGTTTCAGGATTGTGGTCTCAAGCGTGTTCTGTATCTGAGGTGGTGGTGAGCAGCCATTTCTTTATTTATTCATTCACTGTTTTTGAGGCACTTGGGATTGAGTAAGCAGCAGTTTCTGGCGCTGAATTATTACTCAACGCAGAGTTCTTGCACACAGGAAGGATTGGGTTAATCTCCTTGCCATTCAGAGAGGGGCGGTGCCTGGCCCAGGTGTTCATTGAGTCAGGCCTGGGCTGGAGCCGCAGCCCGATTCCTTTCCTGTATCTCCTCTTGCTCAAGTCCTCTGCCACACAGCAATGACCTGCTGAGCACCCACTAGGTGTGGACATTGTGCTGAGTGCTGGGGACAGACTGCTGATATAGACCCAGCTCCTTGCCATCGTGGTGTTTAAGACAATAAGCAAACAGGTGTGCCCGCGGTGGCAAAGGACATGAGGTCAAGGGCAGGCTGCCTGCAGAAGCCTCAGAAAGACAGACAGGAAGCTGCAAGCCAAGGGAAGGAAAGGCCCCCATGGAAAGAACCTAAAGAAGGGTATTTCCAGAAAGGAGGCCCCTGGACAGGCGAGACCTTGCCCCACTGCCTTACTCCAGCATCCTCCAGCAGGGCTGTGCCAAGCGTTGGGAGGGATGCTGGGAGCAGAGGAGGGAAGTCGGGAGGGGAGAGAAGCCACAGGAGAAAGGATGGAGTTTGGATTGGCTCCGACTGTGGTGTGATGTCACGGATGGGTCAGAGCAGGAGAGACGTGTCTAGAGAGGGTGCTTGATGATGCCAGAATTTCCCCTTCTTGACTCTATGGTTCTCTCTCCCTCTTATGTTCTTTCCTGGCACACCACGATCTTCTCTGTGACAGACCAAATATGCCCTCTCAGACTTTGGCATTAAAGCCCTAACACCCAATGTGACAGCCCTGAGAGGTGCAATGTTGGGAGGTGACTAGGTCATGAGGTGAAGACCTTATGGGACTACGTCACGGGCGGTCACAACAAAAAATTATCCAGCCGCAAACCAGGAAATAGGCTCTCGATAAATGCCATCGCCATAATCTTGAATGACCCCCAGACTGCAGAACTGTAGGGCACAGACTGTCGGTTAAGCCACATAGCAGAGGGCATTCTGTTACAGTAGCCCAAGTGGACAAGGCATAGCCCTTGCCCATTCACCCCCTCCCCCATCAGGCTCTGGGGTGCAGAGAACAGCCAACACCCAGCAAGTGACAAAGTCTCCTGGTCACACTGGCACGCTTGTATTCCTCAGAATTTGGACAGAATTTGGGCACACCCTCAAGTCAGGTGGTTTCCAAAAAATGGGCCTCAGTCCCAAAAGAGGAAGCAGAAACTGCCATACTTCCCGCCTTCTCTCCCCTCCCCCGCCCCGTGGTTGCTAACTGCTGTGATGAGCTCATAGGGTGCTGGAAGAATGCAGTGCCTGCTGTGGCATCTTCAAGATTTCAAGCCTGGGCAGAGGCAGGGCAAGAAACTGGAAAGCTTCGTGGTAGGAAAAGGAGGGGTGGGGTGCCACGCCTCTCTGCAACTTCTCCTCTCCTTACCTCGAGGGGTCTTCTCACCCGGCAACATGAGGCAGAGGCAAATGAGACATGACCCTTGCAGCCAGGACTGGCACTCGATAGGCACACCATTCACAGCAGTTTCTCAAGCCCATGCCAGAAACAAATTTTAATGGATATGGGTGTTCTTGGTGTGACAGTGATGGGGGTGGGGGGGCAGAGAGGAAGGATGGGTGACCTTTTTGTAAACAAGACCAATAGGTAAACAGATGTGGTACAGACCCAGAGAGAGAGGGCAAACTATGAAGGGTTTAGTACGACATCGGTTGCAGCCCTAACACACTCAGAGTGACATCACTAATGTTTAGCCCATCCTGACTCATCTTAAACTTCCTGAGGGGCTATGGGATTGAAGCAGATGTAAATAAGGGTGAGACCTCTGTGACAATGAAAAGCAAGATTGATTTAGTTGAGCACGGTTGATGATATCTATTTGTCATCCATTAAGTGCAAGTGAGAGCCTCAGGAGGGAAAGATATTAAGAACCATGTATACCCACAGGAACGGGCAAGGCCTATCTGCAGCCATTAAAGTAATTCAATAAAAGACAAGCAATGGACTCAAACAGAGAAGAGACGGGTGGGAAATAAGCCTGTGAGAAGATGGCCACCGTAATTATTCTTTGGGAGACGCAATGTAAGCTATGAGTTGACACCATTGCCCACACTGTAGAATGGCTACAAGAAGTTCTGGCCATGTCAAGTTCAGAGAAGGTGCAACCTGGCTCATTCACAGCTGGGGGAATGAAAGATGGTCACCCAGGCAGTGGCCTGGCATGGTCCAGTGCAGTTGGGGATGCTCTTTCTCAAAGTCACAGCAGTGTCCCCTCAGACAGTCACACAGACTTGGCTTCTTGCCTAAAAATTGAAACAGCAGCAGCAATCATGGTGGCACTCTAGAAACAGTGCAAACAAACGTCACAGCTTCAGAAATGAAAAGCAGTGATGAACTCAAGGCAACAATGGAACGATAGGAAAATATAAAACTCAATAACTAACACACCACTAACTCCTATACACATAATTACTGAACGAAGAAACAAGACAACTAAGAACCCAAATAGTGTACACATGGGTATAAAATTAAAAAATGAGTAAAACTCAGGTGCCAAATTCATGAATGAGGAGTGACAGAAAGACCGAAGCCACTTGTGGGGAGGACAGAACAGTTTGGCTAGAATGATACAGGAGAGGCCTTTTGGAGATGGAAAGAAAGATTCTAACTTTTGTCCTTTTCTATCCTCTTTCTCTTAAGGCTATACACACTGGTGGCCATAAGTGACATTCCGGTATTATGGCCTATCTTCCCTGGAACTTTCTGTCACTAGTCATGGATGTAGCTTAGCTCCAAATGGGAACCTGGAGGCCATCTGATGCCCTTCGGTATCAGGTACTGGCTCTGTAATCCCAGGGTTCCAAATCTCAGTTCTCCCATCTGTCAATAGAGTGTGAAGGTCCCCATTATGCCTAGCTCATAACTAGTACCGTAACTATTAAATGGATGTGTCCCCAAATCCTTGTGTTAGACTGTGATCCCAAAACCATGGGGTTGGGAGGTAAAGCCTTCTGAGGGGTGACTAGGTCCCAGATCCAGAACTATGAGCTAAAGAAATTTTGTGAGTGTAATTGTTTCAGTGTGTGGTCTTCTGGCATTGCCACAGAAAAGGACGAAAGACAAAGGGCTTTGAGATTGACTCTCCAAATGCCTCTAACAGGTACCAAGCTGCTGACGGCTGCTGGGAAATGAGGTTAAACTGCTTGGGCAGTCTGCATCTGTCTATGGGGTTCCATGCACATTTTTAAGCAGCCAATAAGCTGGGGCCTCTGAAGGAGGCTGCTCAGCCTACTTCCTTTTTTCAAACACAGGACCCAGACGAGCAGCAGAGGCTCGGCCGTCTTTTTGGACCTTGCAAAGGAGACCAGAGTGGGGCATGTAACTCTCCTGGACCCCCTGGACGCACAAAGCCTGAAGATCCCAGGTCAGTCGGTGTTTGACTCCAAGCTCAGCCACTGCCAACTGAGACTCACTGACCTCCTTGAGAGATCCTCTGGGAACTCGCTGGGGACAGGGAAGGAGGGATCAAGGCTGGTGAGAGCCTCTACCTGTAAGGCTTTCCTTAGAAACTGGGGGCAAACTGGGAATGCCCACCCCTGACCTCTAATCCTGGTTCCTGTTGAAACGCCAGGCACCGTTCCTGTTCCTGGGAACCAGTCTAGGCTTGTGCTTCTCAAAGAGTGAACTGAGGACCCTGCAACAGAGTACAAAGTCCAGAGCCCACCCAGCTCTGTCTGGGTGTTGCGAGGTAGGCAGCCTGTTTTTGTTACAGCCCCCAGCGCTTCCTCTCCCCAGTCCCAGTGGGGCTCTTGATGCATACCAATATCTGAGAAAACTTCCTGTGGCAAGCTTCATGAAAAAGCACCAGTAGTCCCACGGTCCTCACCCTTCCCTAGCAGGGCAGGTAGAGCCTAGCTGACCCCTGCCCCCCGGTGAAGACCTAGGAAAGCTGCCCAAGAAACAAAGGGGCTTCAACTAAAGCAAACTCCACAGCCAAGGCTGCCACTCTGGGCATTTTCTTCCTCCTCCTTTTTTGAATGGGTGGCTCTCAGTACTTCTGTCTTCCTGGGAGGGGAATCTGCTTTTACTGCATTTTACTAGACACTCATCCCCTCTACAACCCCTGAGAAAGGTGGCCTAGGTTCCACGAGTGGCCCTGTGTACCCAGGAGGGGGACTGCAGAGGGCAGAAGCCCTTCAAGTGGAGAACAAGAGGCGAGGCATCCGGAAGATGAAGAAAACAGTAGTCATGAACGGGAGCTGGGATTGGGTGGGAGGCTGGGTCATTGCTCTGTCCTCTGGGCCAAGTACAGGTCCTCTAACCCTCAGGGCCAACCCCGCAGTGCTCTGTTGGAATGGCTAAAATCTTTGCTGCTGGGAGAGTGGAGAAGTAAGAACCTTCAGAACCTTCTGTCCCAAGGAGCTTAGCAACAGGATTAATTTCCCATTTCCCACACGGGGAAACCGAGGCTTGGATGTGGTTAGGCAGCTGTCAACATATCACTTTTTTTCTACTTGTCTTTAAATGGGCGACTCCCAGCCTGCCCTGTAAGAGAAGACACCCAGAAACAGTTTTGCCTGTGGCTTTGAGTTTTATTCTAAGTCCCAGTTTTAGGTCTTTACTGGAGCACACAGCACAGGCACAGGCACATTTTTTTTTGGGGGGGGGTCTACCAAGGCCCCATGGAAGGAGTCCCTTTCTCTGGCATGGTGCCAGATACCCAGATCAAGAAAACAGCTCTGGAAAGGCCTAGACCACTAAGGCCAGTTCCTCATACCATCACTCCCTTCACAGAGAATAATAGAGGAAGGTACAGAATGCCCACAGAAAATACTAAGTCTCCGTTAGATCAAGCAGGCACACTGTGGCATACACCTACAATCCCAGCCCTTGGGAGGCAGGGCAGGAAGATCATGAGTTCCAGGCAGCTTGGGATAAATGGTGTGGCTCTCTCTCTCTCTCTCTGAAACACACACACACACACACACACACACACACACAGCACATGACCACCTCTTATCTTGCTTTAGCACTTAACACAATGGTTCTTAACCTGTGGGTCATGACCCCCTTTCAAGTTGCATATCAGATATTCTATATATCAGATATTTATATCATGATTCATAACAGTAGCAAAATTACCGTTACAAAGTAGCAGCAAAATAATTTCATGGTTGGGGGTCACCACAACATGAACAACTGTATTAAAGAGTTGAAACGTTAGGAAGGCTGAGAACCACTAACTTGGCAGAACACGAGGGATGCATCCCATCACCACTTAAGGCTGGATAAGGCTTGTAGCCACTCTCCCCAGAAGAAAAGAGGGAAATGGAAAACAGAAGATAATCAACAACTTGCCCCGGGTCCACAGTCAGTCAGGATGGAGGCCATGTCTCCTGACTCCTCCACAGGGCTGAGAGAGGTTAGCAGGCGCACAGGCTGTTGAGAACTCAAGCATGGACAGCATTGGGCCAGCTAGGCCCCTGCTCTGTGCCTCAGTTGGCCCGCTTGTAAATGTGAGGTTTACTGGAGGGTCCCTGAGGGTCCTCATTGGACCACTGCTTAGATCCCACTCAGAAAACAGCTTAGGGTTCCTTCCACCTGCTCTATAATGAACAGATACTCCCTTCTCCACCCCACCCCAGGCATAGGTTCAACTCCCATCAGCCTCCCCTAGGCCAGGGCAACTAAAAGGAGGCAATGAAAGGAGGCAACAACATCATTGCACGTTCTTTGAGTTCCTGTACAATGGTAGTTAATCTTGACAACTTAAACTGGCTTTAGAATGCCCTGGGAGCCAAGAGAAGTATACCTCTGAGTGTGTCTGTGGGGGCTTCCATAGATGACTAAGGAAGGGGGAAGATCCACTCTGACTGTGAGAAGCAGCATCCCAAAGGCTAGGAGGGAAAGAGGAAAGTGTGCTTCAGTGAGATGGTTTTGCAGGTGTCTCAATTAGAGTTTCTATTGCTGTGAAGAGACACCATGACCAAGGCAACTCTTATAAATGAAAACATTGAACTGGGGCTGGCTTATAGTTTCAGAGCTTCAGTCCATTATCATTATGGCATGGCAGTGTGCAAGCAGGCATGGTGCTGGAGGTGCAGAGAGTTCTACATCTTGATCCAAAGGCAGCCAGGAGGAGACTGGATGTGTTTCGTACTGGGTGTAGTTTGAGCATTTAAGACCTCAAAGCCCCACCTCCACAGTGACCCACTTCCTCTAAAAAGGCCACACCTCCTCCAATAAGGCCACACCTCCTCATGGTGCCACTCCTATGGCCAAGCATTCAAACTCAGGAATCTATGGGGAACCAAACCTATTTTAAACCACCACAGCAGGTGAAGGCATTTGCCACTGAGCCTGATGACCTGAGCCCCATGACCTGTGTGGCAGAAGAACAAGTACTCCTACAGGCTCTCACATGACCTCCATATGCTTCATGCACTGTGGGGCACCCATGAGCATGTGCACACACACACACACTAAAAAAAGCGGAACATGGGAAAGCCTCTGTTAGTTCAGGCATACTCTCTCCCCGTTCCCTTCCTCTCTCCTTCCTCTCTCCTCCACTTCCCGGCCACCTGGAGGTGAGCTGCTGTGCTCTACCCATGCCCTTCCCACCATAATTAGCTGAGACCTGAAACTGAGCTTGATCAACCCTTTCTGTCTCCAGTTGTTTATGCCAGGTATTCTGTCAGTGACTAAAAATAAAAATCTAACACATGGACCTAGAAGGGTGCCCAGCCCTTTGTTCCTCTGAGAGAGTGGTTTTTTTTCTTCTAACTTGTAGCTATCCATAAAAAGCATACACTTCTTGAGTTATTTATCTCATTATGCAAGCATATTTATCTCATTACTCAAACATATTTATCTCATTACTCAAACATTATTTATCTCACTACTCTCAAACATCTAATACATGTCAGATCCTTGTAACAGAAAGGACTGTGTAGTCCCTGATGTGTGAGAGACCCTGAGTCTGGGCTCTTTGGGGCTGGCCTAGCTTAATTCTCACACCAGCCTGTGAAGGTGGGTTCTGATAGTGTACCCATTTTATAAGACTCTGAGGTGTAGAGAAGCTGGGTGACCTGACAGCTACCAAGTCATCCATTTCCTTCTGTGCACAGAGCGGACCTCAGAAGCCTGCTGGCCTGCTGTCTGCCTCCTGTCCACTTCTGGTCACAGCAGATTCTATAGTCAGCCAACTTGGGCTTGTGCCACAGCACCCCCACCCCAGGCCTTGCTGTCAGGCTCTCTGTCTCGGTTCCTTACCACAGTCCTGCAGAGGAGGGTGGTCGAACTGGGGACACGCAGAGGCATACCAACCGCCAGCATGTCTTAGAGACAGTTTTGCCTTGTTCCCTCCCCAACAACAAACCTTGGGTTAGGCCTGTTTCCTTATCTGTTACGTGTCAGGAATGTCAAAGTTTTGTGGGTGTTCTCTTAAAAGGGCAGTGTGGGGCTGGAGAGATGGCTCAGCAGTTAAGAACACTGGTTGGTGTTCATGAGTTCAATTCCCAGCAACCACTATTACAACCATATGTAATAGAATCTGATTCCCTCTTCTGGTGTGCATGAAAATGGAACACTCATGTAAAAAAATAAATATTTCTTAAAAATGTTTAAAAGGGAGGGGGAGTGTGAACTGGTCATATTAAATATTTGATTAAAGACAGAGGGGATCGTGGTAGGGGTTGCCCTGTAACATGAAACTGAGTTGTGGAGCATTTATCTGGACTAGCCAGTATCTTTCTCCCAGGTAATCTCCAATGTTATTGCTGTCACGTGATAGTACTTTGTCTGAAATCCAGAGCAAATGAGTAAACACTACAAGGATCAGAGCCCTACCTCAGGCTCTGTCTGTCCAGCACAGGGGAAGGCTAGGCTTGGGCTGGCTGGTGGACAGTAGAAGACCCAGCAAAGGGATCATTATGTCGTTCCTTGCTTGTTTTCTTTTCATTTTTTGTTGGGATATTATCTGTATGCCATGTTTTCTTGGGTGAAGCTGTTTTCATTGGATTGGAGTTTTCCTTCTAGTATCTTCTGTAGGGCTGGTTTGCTGTATAGATATTGCATAAATTTAGTTTTGTCATAGAATATTTTGTTTTCTCCATCTATGTTGATTGAAAGCTTTGCAAGGTATAGTAGTCTGGGTTGACATTTGTGATCTCTTAGAGTCTCCATGACACTTGCCCAGGCCCTTCTGGCTTTCATAGTTTCTGATGAGAAGTCTGTGTGATTCTGATAGGTCTACCTTCATATGTTACTTGGCCTTTTTCCCTTGCTGCTTTTAATATCTTTTCTTTGTTCTGTAGATTTAGTGTTTTGACTATGATGTGACGTGGTGTGTTTCTTTTCTGGTCTAGTCTATTTGGTGTTCTGTAGGCCTCTTGTATATTTATGGACATCTCTTTCTTTAAGTTGGGAAAATTTTCTTCTATGATTTTCTTGAAAATATTTTCTGGACCTTGGAGCCTGGAGTCTTCTTTTTCATCAATTCCTATTATTCTTAGATTTTGTCTTTTCATGGCACCCTTGATTTCTTGGATATTTTGTGTTAGGGACTTTTCTGATTTTACTTTTTCTTTGAGGGAAGTATCAATTTCTGCAAGTGTATCTTCAGCTCCAGAGATTCTCTCTTCCATCTCTTGTATTCTGTTGGTGATGCTTACCTTTGTGGTTCCTGATCTTTTCTCCAAGTTCTCCAGCCCAAGGGTTTTCTCAGTTTGTGTTTTCTTTATTGATTCTAATTCTGTTTTCATGCCTTGCACCATTTCCTTCATCTGTTTGAATGTAGATTCCTGTCTCTCTATGATGGTCTCTATTTTTTTGTTCATTTTCTTTCTATATGCCACTAATTTTATCTCTACTTGTGCCTCTATTTGTTTGGCTATGTTTGCCTGTGTTTCTTTAAGAATTTTGTCTATTTCATGCCCTCCAGCATGGATTACAACTAGAATCCCAAGAACCCTGGGATCTGCAGGAGCCCCAGCAGAACTTGGCTCTCACTCTTCTCTCTTGCACTTCCAGCAGTCTTGGAGCATGGCAAGTTCGGAGCATCCCGGGAGCCCTGGCTGTACAGGACCCCTACACCAATGCATAATAAGGACCAGGAAAGAAGCAGTGCCCTCAGGCCCAGACCGTCCATGTCCACAACTAGAAGAACGCTTAGGTAAACTTGAGAACTTGAAATTCAGTGAGGGGGTTAGAGGTTAGAGCAAAGACATCTGAGGTACTTTAATGGCTGCACAGTTCAAAGGCCAGGCAGCTGTCTTCACTGGGGTCACCCTTAGCCGTGCCAAGACAAAGATTTGGTGCAGGCTCTTTACGTGGGAGATGATCCTTGGAGGCGGGGTGGGGAAAAGAACAGCATCTTGTATAGGTGATGGGTGGTCACATGACTGGGGAGGTGACTGGGACTCAGTCTGGATGGGGGTCCATGGGAAGGTATAAAGAGCATACCAGAGTTGTGCATCCCAGGGACAAAGAAACCAGAGACTGTCCAACATCCCTTTCTGTAGATCTGAGGGAGACACCTGAGCATGTTGCTGTGGTCCTAGAAAGGCCTGGGGTCCTGAGTTACAGGTGCTCTCCTTAGGAAGCCAATAGCCTGTTTCAGAACAGTGCCTGTCAATGGGCCCTGGCCTAGCACTGACAATGTCTGCTATGGTGCCATCTCCTGGTATAACCTCTCCTTACACCCATTTAAAATGGATCTGCTGAAGCCTGTGGTGTGCTGTGCATGGAAAGTAAATCTGACCACATCCCCTAGCCTTCAAGCTCAGTAGAGAGACACTGATGAAAAACAATTAGAAGACAAAAAGGCCACTGGGACAAAATGGAAGGCACTTACTCTAGCATCAAGATGTGGGGAGAGGAGTGACGCGTGCATCAGGTAGTACAGGCCTGTGCCTCTTGCAATAAGTGCACAGTTCTTTAAGCAATTGTACTGTAGGAAAACTAAGCAGATTCTAAGAAAAGTGTGGGGCTCAAGTGAGGTGTAAGAAACACTGTGGGAAGCTGGGCCGTAGTGGCACATGCCTTTAATCCCAGCACTCGGGAGGTAGAGACAGGTGGATCTCTGTGAGTTTGAGGCCAGCCTGGTCTACAGAGTTCTAGTCAGACCTACCCAGAGAAATCCTATCTTAACAGAAAACAAACAAACAAACAAACAAAAACAACGTTGGTTTCCAGGCAAGGGAACGGGAGGACTGAATTCAAAGCAGAGACTCCCAAGTGTACCCTGAGACAAAAGTGTAAATATAGCAGGGGCTGAAACATGGCCACCTGGAGTCAGAGTTGTAGGGAGTGCAGAAGCAGACATGTTCAAGTCCCTGTTTGCCAGAAGCATGATTACAAAATGGTCAGCCAGAAGTGGGTGATAAAATGCTCCCACACTGCACTTCATTAACAAGAAGTAGTCCAGAGCACTGGACTGAGGTCAGCATGGTAGGTATGTTCACAGGGGCCTGGCTGGTGCCCCAATGGTGCGGGTGGGAGGAAAAGATAGTTGTGTTCTTCTGCAACTCTAGTATCCCTCCCATCATCCCACAAAGACCCAGTCATCTCCCCAGCCCTCTCCTAGAGGGCACTGCCTATTGCAGATTTCCTTAAAGGCACTGTCCCTCCAGAAGCCCAAGATGGCCCCACCTCCAACTCCAGCATGACCACGAGGGAGCTACAGGAACACTGGCAGAAGGAGAAGAGCCGCTGGAAGCACGTCAGGCTGCTCTTTGAGATCGCCTCAGCCCGCATCGAGGAGAGAGGTGTCTCCAAGTTTGTGGTAAGCAGAGGTTAGATGTGACGGAGCCCCTGTGAGTCACCTCCTGCATGTCCTGGGAAGGTCTGGGGAGACCTCAGTTTTCCACCCATGCCATGACACACTAACTCACAGTCCTCCAGAGAAATGGAGGTTTCGTAGTACCGCATGCAGGGTTCCATGAAGACTTAGAGATGTATGAGTCATGTTCCTGATTCTGAAATATCTAGTCATTAATGTTTTCTTGTTTTTCACTTGACTTGCTTTAAAAAATACATTTCAGTGAAAGATCTGTGTCACATGACATTAAGAAACAACAGTTACAAAAGTAAACTCAAGAAAAAGCTGAACTCAATTTTAGCTGCCAGCCCAGGCTGTGGGAAATACCCTGCTGGGAGCTGCCATCTGTTTTGAGCCTGGACATCAGCCTGTTCTAGGAAGAGAGAAGAGTCACACCAACCATTCCTGCAAGCCGGGCACGGTGGCACAAGCCTGCAATCCCAGCACTCTGGGAGGCAGAAGCAGGCGAATCTTTTTGAGTTCGAGGCCAGCCTGGTCTACAAAGTGAGTCCAGGACAGCAAAGGCTACACAGAGAAACTCTATCTCAAAAAACAAACAAACAAATGATGACACCAACCATTCCCATCTCACTGGGACCGGAGCACCTCAACACTCCACCTCCCTGGGCTCTCACTGGTAGTACAGTTACAGTAGCTAACACTGCATGCTGGGCATAGCTCTCCCTCGTATCAGTGAGTTCACTCACTTATTTAATCCTCGAAAAACAAACAAACAAAAAAACGGGAACTATTTCTCAAGTTAAGGATGGGTTAAATCACCAATCTAAGACTAACGTGCCTAAATGTGTTATGCCGGGAACAAATACCCAGGTGTTCCACACGGCCACTCTCGACTCCAATCCACGCTTCCCCATTTAGGACAGACAGCCCCATTTTCAATAATAAAAAGCCTGTGCTTTTTTCCAAGATGCTTCTAAGCCCTGCTATTCTAGGAGCAAGATTTGCCACGCACTACCTTCATGCTGCTAGCTAAGCTAGTGTACAGCACGGGCACACGGTGCGGGGAGTGATGAACCTCAAGGCCTGTTAACGCGTATTCGCGACAGTGGCAGAGGGCCAGGCAGATGGCTCAGCCTGTAAAAGCCCTTACTGGCCAGCCTGGCCACCTGAGTTCGACACCCAGAGCCCACGTGGTGGAGAAAGCTGAGAACCAACTCCCACAAGCTGTCCTCAGCTCTCAACACATGTAAAAAACGTTTATAAAGAAAATGTAAAATGTAACATTATTATTTTGTACAAAATGTGACTTTAAGAATGGCACGGGGGCGTAGAAGCAGGTTCACGGGGGGGGGGGGGGGAAGAGAAGAGAGAAACAGATGCTGCTGCCAGTCAGGGCACACCCGCAATCTCAGAATTTGGGAGGCTAAGTCAGGAATACTGGGGTTCATCTGTAAACTACCCAGCTAGTCCTTGTCTCAAAAACAGACGGCCCGGGCCGAGGCTGTGGCTCAGCTGTAGAGCACTAGGCAGAGGCCGCGGGTCCCAGCCCCGGGTGCGCGCGCGCCCGCGGCGTGCATTCTTGTATCCCGAGGCTAGCCTCTCCGCTCTGCCTGCAGATGTATCAGGTCATGGTGGTCCAGACCGGGAGCTTCGACAGCGACAAGGCGGTGGTGGAGCGGCGCTACTCGGACTTCGAGAGGCTGCGGAAGGCCCTGCTGAAGCGCTTCGGGCCGGAGCTGGAGGACGTGGCCTTCCCGCGGAAGCGCCTGACCGGGAACCTGTCGGCCGAGGCCATCTGCGAGCGCCGCCTGGAGCTCCGCGAGTACCTGCGACTGCTCTACGCCGTGCGCGCCGTGCGCCGCTCGCGCGAGTTCGTCGACTTCCTCACGCGGCCCGAGCTGCGCGAGGCCTTCGGCTGCCTGCGCGCCGGCCAGTACGCGCGCGCGCTCGAGCTGCTGGGCCGCGCGCTGCCGCTGCATGAGAAGCTGACGGCGCACTGCCCGACGGCCGCCGTGCCCGCGCTCTGCGCCACGCTCGTGTGCCTGCGCGACCTGGAGCGGCCTGCCGAGGCCTTTGCGGTCGGCGAGCGCGCGCTGCAGCGCCTGCGGGCGCGCGAGAGCCACCGCTACTACGCGCCGCTGCTGGACGCCATGGTGCGCCTGGCCTACGGGCTGGGCAAGGACTTCGCCTCGTTGCAGGGCAAGCTGGACGACAGCCAGCTGCGGAGGCCCACGCACAGGGGCTTCACCCTGAAGGAGCTCGCGGTGCGAGAGTATCTGTCCTGAACCGGCCTGGCGGGTGCCCTGGCATCCATCGCCGTACTAGCTACCTGTTGCTGGCCGGCTGCTTGGTGTCCATCTTTAAGGGGAGGAGCCGTCGCTCGTGGACTTTGCTGGGCGGCTTTGAAACTTTAAAAGCCCCCTTTTTACTGTGGTGTCCGCTGAGCAGAGGGGCTCCTGGGACCCCCGGAAGAGCCATCTTGAGTGCCAGGAAGTCCCTTGAGTGCCAGGTTTTCCAAAACCTAAGTTCACAAGTTCAGCTGTCAAAACTTTGCAAGTACTATAGGCCTTACCACGTAGGGATGGGAAGGACTTGCCTACCACACAGAATGCGTTCAAGGCCGGCCAGCCTAGGCGATTGGTGAGACTGTCTCCAAATAAAAAAATCCGAGGATGTAGCTTGATGGCATAGTGCTTGCATAGTATGTGAGACTCTTGGTTCAATCCCCAATACTTAAAGAGAGAGAGAGAGAAAGGAAGGAAGAAAGAGGACCTGTTTTTTTAGGCAGCCAGGGGAAAATTTGCAAAACACACTTCCTCAGACTGCTCCCTCCTGCCGCTCCAGATCGTCCCTTTGCTCCTGTCACCCCAGCATCAGTTGCAAATGATTCCACACATCAGACCAAGGTCCTAGCTCCCCCTCAGCAAAACGGGCCCATCTATTGCTCCTCAAGGGAAGCCTCTCCTCCAATCCACCCCCTTCCCCCAGCGTGGAGATGATGTGATCCTTTGAAGTTACAAGGATGTTGGGGAGTCAGGTGTGGGAGTTCAAGTAGGGAGCTGAGGCAGGAGAATCACAAAGTTAAGACCAGCCTAGGCTAACAAAGTGAGATCCTGTCTCAAAAAGTAAAAGGAAAGGAAGGCAGGCAGGAAGGGAGGGAGGGAGAGAGAGAGGGAGGGAGAAATAAAATATTGGAGGTGTTAGTAAACGATCTTGCCAGTACGATGGTGGACTTTCACCCTTAAGGCAGCTCTGCCTTCAACAGCTTCCCTGGGCCTTGTACACCTAGAGGGAAGGAGTGGAACGAGAGAAGAGATGGGTTTGGGGAAGTAACAGTCCTAAACAGCTCCCCTTTAAGAGTCAGTGCTCCTGGAACCTGATAGATGGGGGAGCTCTTGATAAAACCTACTGTCAGGAAAAGATGACCTTGAACTTCACTGTGAAGAGGGTCTGGACTAAGGGTCTGAGATGATGGTACGGTCTGGCGTGGAAACCTGAGCAGCAGGCTGCACGCACCGAGCAGGAGACCGCAGCACCCCTAGGCCTGGAATGTGGGGTAGGAAGAGTTAGGTTTCCCAAGGCGGACAGGAGACCACTACACTGCATCCAAATATCATGTTCAACAGTGGCCGCTTGTGGCAGCTGCCATGATGGTCCTGTGAAGGTCTTTAGAGGTGCCTTCCTTCAAGCAGCTTTTCCAGGAAGACACTTCAAGTGGGAAATACTAGGCTTCTGGAAAAGCTGGGTTTATGGAAAATTAAAGAATCCAGTGGCAAAATAAAGGCGGTGTCTGTTTGAAGTCGTGATTCTGTAAGCTATTTCTTCAAGCCTAAAATGTACTCAATAAAACACAACAAAGAAAACAGCACCCTATAGAGAGAGCTAAATAGGAGATTCTAGGGGGAAATTTAGGAACCAGAGAACTAGACTCTCATTGTAAGGTTCAGCCCTGGTTAAAACTTCTTGAACTCTGATTGTGAAATATGAAGAGGGCAGGAACTGAGCCAGAAGAGGTGGTGCACACCTGTGATCCCAGCACTCAAGGAGGCCAGAGCAGGAGGATTGTGTATTCCAGGTCAGCCTGGGATATGCAGTAAATTCCAGTTTGGCCTGGAAATTAAGTTCCAGGCCAGCCTGGGGTGCATGTCTGAAGATGCGGAGGACGAGGAGGATAGAAACTTATTATATCCAAATATGGTATCTGCAGGTGGCACCACTGGGAAGCCCATCGTAACAGACCAGAGCATGAGGACAGGCTCCTGCAGGTCCCTGGGGACCTCGTCAGTGCAGCCCATGTTCTGTCTTGCCTTGTGATCCTCTGCATATGCTTGGTTCTCGGTAGTCCCACCATTTAGAAGGCCCTCCTCAGATACAGCACCTTGACCTTGGACCTCCAGAACCAGGATCTGCTCTCTCCTCTTTTATGAATTATGCAGCGCATTGTATCCAGCTACCCAATAGGAAGCGGACCAAGACTCCGTACACCCTAGGTCCTGCAGCTGAGGATGATTACAAGTGAGGTGGGAATCCTCTGAGGATTTGGACTGCAGACTAGCGCTCACTCACACCTGAGGGCTGAGCAAGCATGGTTTGGTCCAGAATAGCTCAAGCAGAGACGCTGGGCTCACGTGCCCTCTGATGGAGGTGTCCTTGCCACTGTAAAGGAAGTAAACAAGGATCTCATTCAAAAAGAGTGTGCACGACACTAAAATGTGTGTCTCCAAACTACGAAGGGGCCGTGTGTGTGCAGTGTCCCCTTTGAGTGGAGATGGGCGTCCCCAGTGCGCCCTGTGCCCATGGGTGCTATGTGCCAGGCTTCTCCTCTGGCACTGCCAGCCCCACCCTGCCCAGGCCAGTGGAGGACAGACACCTTAAGGTGTTACAGTGACTTCCCCAGGGTCACATGACTTTCATCAGTACAGTAGGAAGTGAAGCTTAGGCTGTTTGACCCTTAGTTCTCCCCTTCCTCCCCGGGTCTCATGCTAGAGCATGAAGGATGAGTGTCCCTGGACCTCTCACCCACATGGGCTTTTCAAGGCTATTCCACTCATCTGTTTACAGTGTTTCAAGTGTGTTGCATGGTGTCTGAACCAGAACTGGTCTGCCCAAAGCATGGTGACACGCTCCAACAGGCAAGGCAGATGGAGGAATCCTGGCTTCAAATTCTAGATGTGCTTGGTGGTCACCTAGCTTGACTTGGAAGGCCCAGGGTTGAGGCAGGTGTGTGGCTGCTGAGGTCCATTGCAGTTGGGCTCTCAGCCATGCTCCCCTTGGACTCCCTATGACTCTCTGTCTCAGAGCTGACCAGGGGGCCAGTTCCCCCTGCTGGCCCAGCATGCCCAGCAATCCTGTCGCTGCTGGAAACGGCCTGGACAAGAACTGGGCTACACCGAGCCACCATCACACTCAGCCTTTCCATCTGGGCCTGCAATGCCACTGTGGGTTTTGTCTCTTGCTATGTGCTGTTTTCCTTTTAGCCGTCTGTTTTATTTATGCAAATTTATTTGCAAAAAAGAAACCAAAAAAAAAAAAAAACAAAAAAACAAAACAACAAACCCTTCCTATGTAACTGTAACTCCAAGTGTAAATTTGAATGCCTTGCTCTAAGTAGGTCACCCTAAGGATAAGCACAGGAACACCTGCCACCCTTTCTATGCCCAACAGGCCTTGTCCTGAGGCAGGGTGCAGGCCTCCACTGATAAGCCCCATCTGCAGTGATGGACTCTGGAGACTGGCAAATACTGCTCCGTGGATAGGAGTGTCCACCACGTGGTCCCCTCCTGCCAGTGCTATCTGAAGCCATCTGGGTCTGGCCCATATTATCCTAAGCCATCTGCCTGGCTCAAGTAAGCCACAGAATTTGTCACCTACTGTTCATTCCTGAGCAGGACGTGTCGCAGTCCTGTTTACTGTCTCCAAAACCTGTGCCTGGTCTGACTTTGGTTGCATGTCCTTGGCCCTCCTCGTCCCATTAGGAGCTGTAGTGCTTGACTTCAATCTTATTCCAGATAAAAGCACCCACTCGTGGAGGAAGTGATCTGGGCTGGCCAACATCTGACCGATCCAGCAGGGTGTCTTCTGAAGGAGGTCTTGGCCCAGCTGGCCATGCCTCACAATGAGAGGAAAACAGCCCTCCCTCACAGAGACCAGTCTATCAGATCCACATAGGCTCATGTGCTAGTCATGTACCTACCTATGCACACATCTCCTCAGGACAGTGGGACCCAAGGAACTTTCATGTCTTAGAGCCTGAGAGCTGAAGGCAGCGGGGGCTGAGACAAGCCCAATGCCTTCCCTAAAGCTGGCCTGACAGGCAGCTACTCACAGAGCAAGCAGAAGCTCTGACAGGAAGATGTTCCTCAGCTGGGTGGCTGGAGAAGCCTTCTCGGAGGAAGGAAGCCTTGTGTCTCCAAGGGTGCAAAGGAGCCAGCGGGGAGCCCAAGAGAGTGAGGGTCAATGCTCAGGCCAGAGCCTAGATAACAGGCACCAGCAGCTCAGAAGCCATCTCTAGTAACTGGCTCAATGGAGTTAATGAGCTGAAGAGCTTGAGTTTGGTGCACATCGATCCTTTCAGTTACAGATGAAAAACTGCAAGTTACTCCAACAGGGAAAGAAAGAATCTACTGTCTGACAACATGCAAGCATGCACGCACGTGCGTGCGCACACACACATACACACAGCCAGCTCTGTCCTGCTTCTCTCCTCTCAGCGACAAGATGGCTACAACCTCTCCAAGATCACATACTTCTTTCTTGGCAACTCCAGAGGACTCTCTCATGCACGCTTCTTGTGAGGTCTGCGCCTGCAGGATCTGTGGAAGGGACATGCCTGTCCTTTCCTAAAGAACCCAGAGGGGTCACCTCACAAGCACAGTTTACAAGCACAGCTAGCATGGGCCTCTGGGCAGGCTTGAACAGAGAAGAGCTCTTGAGTATACAGTTTCGTGATCTGCTTTCCAAAGCACAGTTGGACATAACTAACATTTCTCTGCGGTGTCCAGCATTATTGCACTCTAGTTTCAACATGTTCTGATGCATACACCATATTCCCATGCCCCTTACTGCGACACGCTTTCTTTTGGCAGAGGTTTAAGCTGGACATGTCTTTCTGCACTGGCGCATCCTTCCATTGCTCTCTAAAGGTGGCATTTCTGGGTTTACTAAACACTTCTCTAGACTTTTAAAAAATAGTTTTGTTTTATCTACATTGGTGTTCTGCTTCCATGCACGTCTGTGTGAGGGTGTCAAATCGCCTGGAACGGCAATTACAGACTGTTGTGAGCTGCCATGTGGGTGCTGGGATTTGAACCCATGTCCTTTGGAAGAGCAGCCAGTGCTCTTGACTGCCGAGCCATCTCTCCAACGTGCTCTTTGGACTCTGTTTAAACACTGTCTTTTGTTTCACTCTTAGCTTGACCAATGTTGTCTGCTTATGAAAAATCCACACTTGCAATGATTTTAATAATCCTATTTCATTTCTTCTCAGAATGGCTCTTCCATTTGGTATGCATAGGGGCTGTCTATCCCACATGCCTGCCATAGCGCTGTCACATTATATGGGTTAAGCTAGTCCTCTGGCAATTTCATACGTGTAAATAGTACTGTCATTCTCAACTAGGCTTAAGTTCAAGCTTTGTTCCTTTCCTGGGGCTCTCCTGAATTGGGATTCGTAGGCTTGATCCAGCCGTTCATCAGATGACCAGCAGAGGGCGCTCAAAACCCAGTGCTCTGTGCTGAAAGGGCCCAAGGAAAATGCCAAGTTTTTTGAAAACTTGCCAAAGTTTTCAGAAGAGACTGCTAGAAAAAAAAGACTGCTGTGTTGCCTCTGTCACTGTCCCCCGTGTTTTTGAGGTGCCCCCAGTGAATCCCAGGGCGCTGGGGTCCCTGTCTTTCTGCCTACCATACTGAAGGAAAGGAGTTTGGCTCCCAGGAAGACACCCGACTTCCAAGGGCCCATTCTGGACTCTGTCCACTCCACTAAGAAATGAAAAGAAAGGGGCGGGGGAGGCTCTTCCTCACTAACAAGAGGCCACTTAAGAAATACACTTATCTCCTCTTCTTCTAAGGATGAACATAAGCTGTGCAGCGAGGACCAAAATCTCACTGTACGAAAAGTGGAGGCAAGCCGGGTACCGTGGTGCACAACTATAATCCCAGCTCTCCCAGAGGCAGGGGCAGGGCAATCTCTGTGAGTTCCATGCCAGCCTGGTCCACAAAGCCAGCCCAAGGCAGCCAAAGGCTACACAGGGTAACCTTGTCTCGAAAAACCAGAAACAAAAACAAAGTGGAGACACTCCCCAGGAGGCCAGCTGGAACTGCCTAGCTATCAGGACTGTCTTCAACCAGGGCCCACCTGGAGAGCCCCCGGATACCACTCACAGCCAAGAGCCAAGTAGACGGCTCCCTGTTTGTCACTGGAATATTTCACAGCTATGCAAACAGACACCATGATGAAACACTGTGGACAAGTCTCACACCTCTAGGCACACACACTCCTTGTCACGCCCAGGTGACAGGAAATCAAGAGGACAAGTGAAACAGTCGAGGGACAACTGGTGGAGCCCCAGGCGGCCCCCGAAAGAGATTTATCCAAAGGTTTTGACTCACAAGCTTAGGATGGTGAAGAAGTCCCACAGCCCATGGAGGCCTGGAAAACAGGAGACAAAGGCTGGGGAAGATGGAAACCCTGCTCAGTAGTGAGGCAGAGGGCGACCATCCAGCCTTCTTTACCTTTCATTGTTCTAGCAGGACCCGAGGATGCTACTGCCTTCTCCACAT